GTGCAGGCGTCATATGTCAGTCTCCTGAAGGAGACAAGTATGAATATGCACTACGATTCAAGTTCCAAGCCTCAAATAATGAGGTAGAATATGAAGCCCTACTAGCTGGCATCCGCATGTGTAAGGCGGCTGGGGCAAGCAAAGTGGACGCCTGCTCTGATTTGCAGTTGATTGTAAGCCAATATCATGGGGACTATGAGGCCACCCATCCGGCTATGATTAAATATTTGAAGGCGGTCAAAGAAGAGGTTGGGACACTTGATGAATTTCATCTAAGTCAGGTGCCCAGGTCAGAGAACAATCAGGCGGATGCTCTTTCCAAACTTGAGTCATCCGCGTCCTGTGATACACCTAGGTCAGTCTTCTGGGAAGTTATGGAAAAAAGAAGCATTGAAGAAGATCCCATTGGAGTACTAGACCGAAGCTCAACCTGGATGGATGGCATCCAGGCTTACATAACAGACGGCACCCTGCCGGATACTTACTCAGAGATGGTTGCAATGAAAAAACGTGCGGCCAGTTTTGAAATTCATAATGGAGAACTCTTCAAAAAGGGTTATCTCCAACCTTTACTGAAATGTGTCACCCTAGAGAAGGGGCGAGAGGTTTTAGAAGACTTGCACTTAGGCTTCTGCGCCTCCCATATAAGCGGCAAGACCCTAGCAAAGAGAGCCAGGCGGCAGGGCTACTTTGGGCCCACTCTTGAAGCAGACGCCATAGAAATGGTGAAGAAATGTGACAAGTGTCAAAGGTTTGGCAAACTCATCCACCGTTCGGCTACTGAACTAACGGACATCCATAGCCCAGTACCATTCGCCAAGTGGGGCATGGATATTCTGGGACCTTATACTCCTGCTACAAGCAGACGGAGGTATATCCTGGTTGCTGTCGACTACTTCACCAAATGGGTCGAAGTAGAGGCAGTCAAAGGCATTAAGACCAAAGATGTTATCTCTTTCATCTAGAGAAATGTCATCACTCGGTATGGGCCAGGTTGAAGCCTACAACAAGTTAATCTCTGATGGCATCAAAAAGAAAATTGAAAGAGCTGGCGGCCTATGGGTTGACGAGCTACCGCATATTCTGTGGGCCATCAAGACGAGTGAAAAAGGGGCGACTGGTGAAAATCCATTTCTCATGGTTTATGGGGCAGAAGTTGTTTTGCCTATTGAGCACTATGAGCTGACTCTTCGAGTTATGTTATATGATGAGAAGGCTAACTAGGAGGCCATGCGACTAGCACAGGACTCACTTCCAGAACGCAGGGGCAATGCTGCCTTGCTCCATGAGATCTACCGTCTAAGAATGACGAGAGCCTACAATAAAAGAGTGCACAAGCGGCCCCTGAAAGTGGGGGACTTTGTGTTGCGAAAAATGGAGGCAACCGGTGGGGCCAATGAGCAAAGAAAGCTGACTCCCAATTGGGAAGACCCCTACCGGATCTATGAAAAAGTACGAGGCGGCACCTTCCGCCTGGAAACACCAGACGACCGGCAGCTAGGAAGAACTTGGAATGTAAACAACTTGAAAAAGTACTACTTCTGAGACTTGTAAATTTTTTGTGAATGAAAACACATCAATAAAAAGTTGCTATTTGTTTTCAATACTTTGTATTTTACGCATCCTCCCAAAAGGGAGGGACGCCTGCCTAATAAGTAGACGTCCTTTTTATTATTTTCCTTCTAATCCAACATGAGTAGAAATAAGCTAAGTCTAGCAAACTTAGCAACTATGTGTTGTTCCACTCAGAACAAATGAGGCCTATGGCCGGATGATCTAAGTCAGGCCTATGGCCTAACTATCAAAATGAGGCCTATGGCCGGATATTCTTAATTTATAAAACATTATGTTTGTCCCTAACATGAGCAGGCGTCCGGAGACATCCATTTGGGTGAATTCGTCGCAGAGAGCATCCCCCATTTGGGTGGCACATTGCTCTATAAACAAAAACAAACGACCCTACCGGTTGTCCATAAAGACAAGCTCGCAGTCGTTTGCATCGATCAAATGAGACAAGGATAAAAAAGACTACCGACTGTTCTACAAAACAAGTGATAGTCTATAATATCTGAGTCAGATAACCGTCTGTTGATTTCTTAGGGGCAACTCAGTCGGCTAAATTTGAGGATATAAGCTAAGTTCGACTCTTAGCAGCTAAATTGCAAAACAAGCTAAGTCCAACACTTAGCAGCTAAGCATGCAAAGCAATCAAGCGCCCTTTTGTCGTCTGCTTCCTTTATACATTTTAAAACCAAGAGACAAAGACTAATTTAACCCTAAGGGTTACCTCACAGTCGTTCAACCTGAAAAACCTAAAATGGAACCTAAAAGGCTCGAATAAAACCGCATGTCTTATTGACAACAGTCGGTATTCGAACACTATTCCTACTTAGGATGGTGAAACTAAGATAGTTGAAGCTAACGCCGGCAACATAACAGGCAGCTGCTATCCTGGTTAGATATTCCGTTTGACGCCTGTTATTTTCCAGATATCATACAAACGACATATTTGAAATATAGAAAATAAGCTAAGTATAAAAACTTGGCAACTATGCATAGTTCGTCTTATGAACTATAAATGAGGTCAAGAACCGGATCATGCTGAGCGTATAACCGTCTGTCCAATGGCCTGCTGTTCTCCTGGTTTGGGGCAATCACCATAGTGATTGATTGACTTAGAAATCAGCCATACTCTTTATAGTATCAAAAATTTCCAAGTCAATCGATCAACCTTTAAAAACCAGGCGCACAGCTGCCCAGGGTCAAAAACAGTCGGTATACCAAAACAATCGGCATATTAAAAAGTATTCAAAGCATTCATACAAAAAGGCAAGCTATACTTAGCAAAATTTATGAAATGTAAAAATTCAAAGCAAAGTGCAAATTGGAAAATTCGACAAAACCGCCGGATGATTCATATTAACAGTCGGCCAGAAGACCGAAAAAAATGTTAAAATTGTCAATAAACCCCGAACCCTTGGTCGGGTAATGATATAAAGCAAGCAGCACGCAGGCCGAAGAAAGTTGATATAAAAACAAGAAAAGCTTAAGTAGCAGGAGGGGGCTGTTCCACTACTAGAAATAGGCTTATTTCCGAGGGAATTGTTCCGACGGAATATAATTCCCTCGGAAAATTCAAAAATTCCGGCGGAAATTGAAGTTGTAGGAATAATCCGTCGGAAAAGTCCTCTACCGACAAAATATTCCCTCAGAAACTTTCCGACGGATTTTTTTTTCCGTCGCTATGTTTCGCTTACGACGGAATATTCCCTTGGAAAGGCTTCCGACGGAATTTATTCCCTCGGAAGTATCAGGTTCCGACGGATTTTTTCGTCTGAACCGGATATTTTCGAGGGAATAAATTCCGTCGGAAGCTGAGAACAATTAAAAAAATGCAACTTTTCTGAACAGAACACAGAACCAAAAAAAAAGAGAAAGGGGAAGAGAGAGAAAGGGAAGGTGACACAGGAAGAGGAAGAGGAAGAGAGAGAAAGGGAGAAGGAGAAAGAGGAAGAGAGAGAAAGGGAGGGAGACACAGGAAGAGAGAGGAAGAGGACGAGAGAGAAAGGGCCACGCCCACCTGTCGCCGCCGCCACCACGCCCCCCTCCGCTGCTGCACCGCCGCCGGTAAGTTTCCTTATTTTTTTTTTTAATTTTTTCCGGAAAACCCTAACCACCACCTTTCACCTAGGGCGTACCGGAGTTGTTACTAACAACGACCAACCCCAAAGCCTCACTCGCCGGCAGGTCTGCAACCACCACGACCACCAGCCGCCGCCGCCGCCAGCAGGTAGTTTCCGTTTCCTTTTTTTTTGGTTTTTTTTTTTATTTTTTTACATAAGTACACATATTTTATTTTTATTTTTTTATACAAAATGCAAGCATAAACTTAAAAGCTTAAATCATAAATGTAGTTTATACTTTAATTTTTTGTTAATTTTTTGTTTGGAATTTGAATATTTGTAGGTTTTGTATATTGAATTGTTTCTTTGGCAATAACAAACTCAGATCTACAGGTTAGATAGTATTTTAAAGCTAAATTTATAAATTTAGTTTATACTTGGCATGTTAGTTCCTAATGGTGTGTAGATATATGTTAGTTTATTATTGTTTTTAGTTATTGTATTTACAATTTGTTGTATTTATATTTTAATTTGTTGAAATATTTGAAATGAATGTGTTTGTGTTATAATATGTTAGATTAGTTTAGTTTATTTAAGTTTACTTTTTAATTACTGTATTATAACACGTTAGTTTAGTTTGGTTTAGTTTAGGGTAATAATGTATGTTAGTTTAGTCTATTTTAGTTTAGTTTAGTTTAGTTTAGTTTATTTTAATTTAGTTTAGTTTATTTAGATTTGGTTTAGTTTTGGTTAATAAAGTGTATGTTAGTGTATTTAGTTTACTATTTATGTTTGATATAATGTTTAATATAATATTTAATAAGCGTGCTTATTTATTTGCTTAGTTTAGTTTAATTATGATATGTCTCTGTTTAGTTTAATGCATATGTTCTTCACTTTATATATATATAATAAATGAATCATTTGCATAATCATATGCCTAGATACCCGTTCAAGGCATACACATTAGGAGTATGTCTTGGATAGTCCCCGGTTGGGACTGTCCTTGTACGCTTATTCTCACTTAGGTGGTGAATGTAAGCCTTGTTTTTTATTCTAGGGAAAATCCTGCCTTTTCATGCATTTCTCTACTGTGTTCTCTGGGTACATATGTAGGTGTGTTTAATCGCCTACATCGTGTACTTGGAGAACTGTAGGGAAATGCTGGCGGATTTTCCATAGAATTGAAAACTCGGGTTACATTCACTAGTGAGAATAAACGTACAAGGATGGGTTAGGTTGGAGTGATAAGGACCCTTTGGAAGTATTTCAAATCTCATTTGCATTTCCATAACACTTTGGTGGATAATGACTGGGAAATACCGTTCATGACTAATGTGATTGTACATATGCGTGAGCTGTGTAGAAGTTGTAATCATGAAACGAATAGAACGTAGCTGGATGTATAAAAGGACGATTGGGCAAAGTATTAATCCAGATTTCGTGAAAGGAGTTGATGAATCCATTCAGTACGTCACAGATCATCCCGAGAGTAGTAATCCGGATGAGGTTAGGTGTCCATGTGTTAAATGTAAGAACAAACGCCTTTGGAATGCGGATACGGTTAAAATTCATCTGTATGGCAAGGGCTTCGTACCTAACTACTATGAGTGGATGTGTCAAGGGGAAGGGTATCCGGGAGTTCCCGAACGGCGGTCCAATGAATATCGTGACATGGTTTTGGATGCTTTTGGTCATAGTCAAGATCAAGGGCACTCCGAGGAGGCTAGTGTTTCATCAGAAGAGGAGCCTAATGCAACTGCTAAGCATTTTCTGGATTTGTTGAAGGCTTCTGAAAGGCCATTATACGAAGGGAGTTCTTTGTCTTTGTTAGAGATGGCCGCTAGAATCACTAGTCTAAAATGTGAGTATAATTTGCCTCACAGATGTGTTGATGGGTTTGCTTCTTTGCTAAGTGAGGCGATTCCGAACAACAACCATATGGCCGACACTTTCTACGAGGTGAAGAAGATTGTGAAGGGGTTGGAACTGTCCCATCAAAAGATTCATGCATGCCCGAAAGGGTGTATGTTATTTTGGAAGGATGATGCTCAGTTGTCTGAATGTCGGGTTTGTGGCAGCGACCGATACAAGCAGACTTCCAAAGGTAGCCTTGTGCCTTTGAATGTTCTATTTTATTTCCCGATCACACCCAGGTTGCAAAGACTGTTTTCAACGAAGAACATTTTGGAGGAAATGACATGGCATTCGAAAAATCCCAGAGTTCAAGGCACAATGGCACACCCTAGTGACAGTGCAGCTTGGAAACACCTCGATTGTCGGTTTCCAGAGTTTGCTTCTGAGCCTCGTAATGTGAGACTTGGCTTGTGTACAGATGGTTTTGCTCCTCATGGTAAGTTTGGGGGACAATATTCTTGTTGGCCTGTCATTTTGACCCCTTATAACTTGCCTCCCTCAATGTGCATGAAAAGACAATTCATGTTCCTTTCGTTGCTCGTTCTTGGTCCTAAAAACCCTAAGGGCAACTTGGATGTTTACATGCAACCGCTGATAGAGGAGTTGAAACTATTGTGGGAAGTTGGCGCGACTACTTATGATATTTCGAAGAAACAGAATTTCAATCTTCGAGCAGCCATCCTATGGACCGTTAGTGACTTCCCGGCTTATGGCATGTTGTCTGGTTGGGCCACGGCTGGTAAGAAAGCGTGTCCACATTGCATGGAGAAGACCAAAGCATTTTGGCTTGAACATGGTGGTAAAGTTTCTTGGTTTGATTGCCACCGGCAATTCCTTCCGACAGATCACCCTTTTCGGAACAGTAAAACAACATTCTGTAAAAGCAAAGTAGAGAAAGGAGTCCCTCCACACATCATGTCAGGAGAGGAGCTGTGGGAATGTGTTAAGGACCTTCCGAAGGCTACAGATGGACCCGATTCCATTAAAAGGCTGAAAAATGAAAAGAAGGGGTGGTTCAAGAAAAGCACCTTGTGGGAGCTTTCATATTGGAAGCATCTCCTCATTCGTCACAACTTAGATGTCATGCACATTGAAAAGAACTTCTTTGATCAGTTAATTCACACTGTAATGGATGTGAAAAAGCATACGTGTGACACGCCTTCAGCTCGGAATGACATTGCTAAATATTGTAAACGTCCCCAGCTTCATCTTGAAAAGAATGATAGAGGAAAAGAGATAATTCCAAAGGCTCCATTCGCTCTTGACAAGGCTCAGAGAAACGTTTTGTGTGAGTGGGTTAAACAATTGCGGTTCCCTGATGGTTACGCCTCAAATTTGAGCAGATGCGTAGATTTCCAAGCGTATAAGCTCTATGGAATGAAAAGCCATGACTGTCACGTGTTCATGGAGAGGATGTTGCCCACAGCTTTGAGGGAATTGCTCCCTGGCCATATTTGGAATGCAATTATAGAGATCAGCCAATTCTTCCGCGACTTGTGTTGCTATACAACATCAGTTAGTGACATGGAGCGATTGGAGAAAAACATACCTGAGATCCTCTGTAAGCTTGAGAAGATCTTCCCCCCTACATTCTTTAAATCCATGGAGCATTTTCTTATACATTTGCCGTACGAGGGGAAGTTATGTGGTCCTGTACAATAATATTTCATATAGGCAAGTCTTTGTTCATTTTGGCTCCAAATGCATCCCAAAACGTAGGGAATTGTAGTTTTATGTGATTTCAAGTGTTATATCCCTTAGAATAACTACAATATACATGTTTAGAGAAAGAAATAGTTCATTTGGTAAAAAACTTAGAAAATGTGCAAATAATAGTTTATATAGGCAAGTCTTTGTTCATTTTGGCTCCAAATGCAACCCGAAACGTAGGGAGTTAGTTTTTTTTTTGGCATTTCAAGGCATGAACCCCTTAGAATACTTATAATATACATGTTTAGAAAAAGAAATAGTTCATTTGGTCGAAAACTTAGAAAATGGGCAAAGAATAAGTCATATAAGCCATAGTTGGTTCAATTTGGCTCAAAATGCGTCCCAAACCTTAGGGAGTTAGTTTTTTTTGGCATTTCAAGGCATGAACCCCTTAGAATACCTATAATAGACATGTTTAGAGAAAGAAATAGTTCATTTGGTCGAAAATGAAGAAAATGGGCAAAGAATAGGTCATATACGCCATACTTGGTTCATTTTGGCTCCAAATGCGACCCGAAACATAGGGAGTTATTTTTTTTGGCATTTCAAGGCATGAACCCCTTATAATACCTATATTAGACATGTTTAGAGAAAGAAATAGTTCATTTGGTCGAAAATGAAGAAAATGGGCAAAGAATAGGTCATATACGCCATACTTGGTTCAATTTGGCTCCAAATGCGACCCAAAACGTAGGGAGTTAGTTTTTTTTGGAATTTCAAGGCATGAACCCCTTAGAATACTTATAATACACATGTTTAGAAAAAGAAATAGTTCATTTGGTCGAAAACTTAGAAAATGGGCAAAGAATAGGTCATACAAGCCATAGTTGGTTCAATTTGGCTCAAAATGCGTCCCAAACCTTAGGAAGTTAGTTTTTTTTTTGGCATTTCAAGTCATTTACCCCTTAGAATACCTATAATATACATGTTTAGAAAAATAAATAGTTCATTTGGTCGAAAATGAAGAAAATGAAGTCACCTACGTCATATTACTTTGTTTATTTTTTCATGAATATGGTACCCTAAGCTTAGCTTATTTGTATACCTTACTAACTTGTTGTTCCTTTTCATATGTTTTTCTTATAGGAGGCCTACCGAAAGAGGGTTGAGGAGGCTAGCACTCAAAGGACTCAGAAGAGTCTGAATGAGCTGTACTGGGAGACCGTGGGTGGTCGAAACAAAAAAGGACGTGTGAAGGGACTTGGCGGAAGTGCTGACCTTTACTATGGCAGCCAGATGGGTCGAATTTCCACATTTTCCCTCCAATACACGCCCTCCCTTGTTTCTCAGATGCAGGATCAGGTGAAAACCAGGGTGCAGGCTCTTCGGCAAGAAATGGAACGCTAGATGGAAGCCCGAGTTCAAGCCTCAGTAAGATCCCAAATGGAAGAAATGGAGAAGAGGTTGGAAGAGAGGATGATGGGTCGTTACGCCAATGACCCATGTTCCACCGTGCGACCTCCATTTCGAGGTCCCAAAGACGACGACCCGGGTAGTGGTGGAGCTGGCCAGGGCACTCGCGCAGTTGATGCACATTGATTAACTTAGTGTTTGTTAGTTCTAATTTAAGATTAACTTAGTGTTTATTGTAGACATTGGAATTAGTATATATATATATATATATATAATTATTTTTGCACAAAAACCAATAATTTTATTCAATCGTTAATATAAGAAGCAGGAATTACAGGTGTGAAAGGGTATCCACGACCAAAAGAGGGAATAGTCAAACTAGTAAAAGCGCCCACGTTATTCCGTCGCAGCTTTCCGACGGAATTATATTCCGTCGCAATGGTGGAACCTTCCGACGAATTTTTACGTCGGTAGCTTGCGACGGATAATATTCCATAGGAACATTGCGACGGAAAAGTCCGTAGGAACATTGTGCGTTACCTACGGAAAAATCCGCCGGAAGATGGTAGCTACCGACGGAATATTCCGTCGGAAGGGGGCACGTATCGACGGAATATTCCGTCGGAAGGCGGGACAATTCCGAGGGGTTTATTTCCGTCGGAACCTTGCGACGGATTCCCAATTCTGGTCAAACGCAGGCTCCGACAAATTGTAATCCGTCGGAACTTCCGTCGGTAGGACATTTTCCGACGGAAAATCCCTCGTATGTGCCAAAATTCCTACAAAGGGTTTTCCGACAACGTGTTCCGACGGAAATCCGTCGGAAACAGCCTTTTTCGACGGATTTATAAGGAATACCGACGGATTTTTTCCGTCATAAATAAGGTGTTTTCTAGTAGTGTTCAGCATCAGCAGCCGCATCCTTTTGTTCCCCAGTCGGCTGCTGCTCTTTTTCGGCATCCGCTTCCTCCGCCTCCTGGTCCGACCCCCCGGATGCGGAATCAGACTACTCGCCCTCCCCCTACTTCTCCATCTTGGCCTTAGCCCATGATCTTCTCATTTTACTCTTGAGTAGAGGCGACAAACTGATTCTTCCAGCCCTCATAGCTGGCGTCCGGGAAAAGAGCCGCCCAGGTCATCTTCATGATGATGTTGCAGTCTTCCATCATGTCTTTGACCAAGGCTTGCTTTTCCTCCTCGACTCTAGAAGTGTATTTTTGGCGAGCTGGACTTCCTAGTTAGCCAACCGTTGTTTCAGTTTGTCAACGCGAGTACGAAGGTCGTCTGCTTCCCTCTCCGCCTCTTTGAGAGGCTCGAGCTTGGCCTTGAGGTCCTTGACCTGCTGCTCCAGCTCAGAGACCCGCTTCTGCGTAGCGTCCAAGTTAGCGTTGACCTGCAGGTTGGCAGTCGCCTGTGAATATAGTATGTCAGTTGTCAATATTTCATTTTGAGCTATTTGAAACATGGCCTTATCATGAGAAGAGGCGGAGCGAGCATTCGCAGCTTTTACCTCCTTGGTCTTCTCGTTGATGGGCCTGCGAAGACCGTGCACTCGCAGCATAGGCTGCATTCGGCAAAAGAGAACATTAGTAACAGACGGCTCTAAGAGTTGTGTAAAAAAAAAAAAAAGGAAGTAAAAAATTACAAGGATACCTCAGCTAAGAGGGCGAGGATGGCATCCAGGTTGAGGGTGCCGACTCCCTTGACCAACTTCCTGTCTTCAAGGGAGACGACTCTCATCATGGTCTTGCTCAGCTAGCTGTTGAAGATCTGGCCTTTGAGGGGTATCTGCAGAATCAACATTTTTTAAGTACTTGGTGTAAACTCGGCCAATAGACGGACTATTTTCAGAGGTACTAGACGACTGCTGATTGAACTTGACCCTATAGGGGTAAGGTAAGGGATTAAAATTTTTGATACCTTTAGCCACCACTTCCTTCTCCTTATGAGGCCGAAGGAGGACTGGAGACTTGGGAGGATGGCTTCTCCCTGGCCTACTAGCCACATGTTTCCTAGGTTTACCAGGAGTTGTCACGTCACCAGTCGTCTGTTTCCAAATCTTTGGATCCGGCTGTGAGTGAGGAGAGGGTTTGTTGGGGTCGCCCTGCAACAAAAACCACAGAGTGAGAAGCAGGCGACAACAAATCAATTTTGACTTAGACAAATGGAAGAGAAGTTCACCTTGGGCGCTTGTGAAGTAGGCGACTCTTCAGCAGGCCGCTTGCTCAGGATGGCCAAGCGGTATTGAGCAGCAACTTTCTTTGATGCCGAGAGCTTCTCCATAGCTTTATCTGCAAATGATGAATTAAAGGGTTAGTTCGACGCAAAATCAACCAAGTCTTACAAAATACTTGAACATGTGGTCAACTACCTCTCGGCATCTCTCCACTAAGGCCACAGGCGGCCAGATATGTCCCACCGTATAGCCAATTATACTTGGGAATATAATTTTGGGGAATGAACTCTCTCACCCCAGTCTCGGGGCTTGCTTGGATAACCACTTTGAAGAGGCCTTTGTCAAGGATATCCTCTCTAGCTCTACGAGGAACAAGCGGTAGCTCAGATCCGCCTGTTAGGAAAGGTGGGTTCCTGTTCCACCTGTTAAACTTTTTATTTCTGACTTTGTCAAGGCTGGAGACAATGTAGAAAGTGTTTCTCCAATCTTTCGATTTGTTCTCCTTCCCTAAAGTCATCATACTAGCCGGTCCCGCTTGTTTTTGAGGTTCGGTTGAGGTAGTGCATGTGGGCGAATGCTTCAAAGCTGGGGTCTACTTCGTGCATTTCGCAGTCGGCAACATAGCCTAAGATGTTGAACCAAGAGTTTGGGGTCAGTTGCCAGACACCCAGCTGGTATCCGTCCAAGATTTGCTCCACAGCCGGATGTAGAGGAAATCTTAGGCCAGCCTTAATAGCCGCCTCATAGCAGCCAAAAACATTCGTCCCCATAGCTGGACTCCTCTGCCCAGACTACAGTGTCCTCGGCATCCGGCGTGCATAAGATATAACCATGCCCCATGACATGGATAACTCTGAAGCTCCCTATTTTATCCACCATCATTTTCCGCCTGCCTGCGGGAACATGATGATAGTAGGCGGCATATTGCTCTCGGCGGGTAGCAGACGGCTCCGCCCAGTCTTCTCCCATTTCTACTAAAAAGGATTCTCTCGCTGTCTCCAGCCGAGAGTGCCTCTCTTCAAAGTCATTAGAGAATTTGCTTGAAGTACTTGGCTTAGAGTCACTGCCTGAGCTCTAGGACCTAGTGTCTGCCTAACGGGCTAGATCAACAAAGCCCGGAATGTCATTTTGAACCTCCTCCCATGATTCTTCCAAAATGGAATCGTTGGGGCACCAGGCGGCACGTTAGATATCTCACTGACAGGCGCATAGAAGGAGGAGCCATCTGAGTTTGTCACCCTTACAGTTCTTTTAGTTCTGGCCATGGTGTCCTGCACAGACACATAGACAGTCAGACTCGGGGCAGTTCGCAAAGGGTGGTCCAGCAAGGGGCAGTCGACACTCCTAGTTCTAGATTCAGCTGTCCCCGGTGACCGGCTGATCACTAACCTAGGCTGTGCCGTGTGCTTTTGGGATACCATTTTCAAAAAAGAAAACAAAGAGAAAGTACGAAAGAAAAACAGGTGGTTACCTTTAGACTGTAAAGTTGAAGGTGCTTGAAAAATCTTCGGCAGATGTAAGAGTAGGCGGTATGGTAGCAAGCGACAGTCGTTCTTTCTAGTTCTTAAATCAAGAGTTCTGTCTGAAATTTCTAGGAATTACCAACAAATGATTGGGACATCCCCTATTTATAAGGGGGTAATTCCAAGGGATACTTTAAAAAAAAAAAACGGTAAAAACTGTTAGCCAATCAGAGTGTGACATCTGTCACAGGCGCCACGTGGCAAGCCACGTCACCCCTGTGAGGGGCAGATGTTAGGGGATTTTTACCTCGCCATGTGGACCAATCCGTCTGCCACGTGTCCTCCATATGAACCAGTCAGGACCCTCCACGTGTCGTCCACGTGGACCGATGTGTCACTCAGCGAAGAGTCCAAAGTGGACCAATCATGGCATGACACGTGCCAGACAAATTGCCAACTTGGACAAGCAGCCTTCCAAGGCCCATACTCCAAGGAAACCTAGTCAAACCTAGGTTTCCCATAAACCTAGGAGTGACACACATTATGAGACCCTATAAAAGGGAGATGTTCCCCCTAGGAAAATCATTCAGAAATTATTACACACACGTGTACATTAATTGCTGAACATTAACTCCAACTTTAATTGCACTTCTTGAGAGCTAAGGCTCGGATTTCGAGACTGTCTGAGATAGCCGAAAGATCACTCCTCACTAAGAGAAGCCTGATCCCATCTACATTCCGCACTTTTTTACATCCGAACACGTTCTAACTTGATCGTCGGAGGCGGAACTCCCACCCCCGGGAGTCTCCGTTGTTTTGCAGGTATAGGCGCGTGGATCTATTCTTGATGTTGTAATTCTCCCGCAAGACACATAAAAAACCTCGAAATAGAAATAATCATCGAAATGATCAAATAATACCATTGGACACACCGTGTATTGGGTGAGCGAGTATATAACAATTTCTACCAGTTTTGGGAATGTCACATAGGTTGGCGTTGGCGCTATGTTTTTTTTTAAACTCTCAAACCAAACAAACCACCACCACCTTCCTCCATTGCCGATTTTTTCTCTTCCTCAGTGTTATGTTCTCAGACCATCGCCATGAACAAAGAAAACTCGCAAGAAGATTCACTAACACCCGAACAACGAGCTCGAATTTCTCTCAGGTTCAGAGCTGCCAAAGCCCTTCTTGCTCGCAAAAAGCCTCGCTTTTCCTCTCCTCTTTCTGTCCCACTCAAGTAAGCTTTTTCTTCCCTCTTTTTGCATCTTACCCTTTTTCTGTTTTCCGTCAATTGCTGTAATTCAGTTTTAATTTCATCATTTCTTTATTCTGTTAGGTTTTATAGTCGGTTTCGAAGAACAATTGTATTAATTTTAATTAATGGGATTAAGGTCATTACTCAGTGAATTTGATGACGACTTCTTAATTCACTTATATTAATTCAAAAGAGCCCATGTTAATTTGTTAATCGATTCTAATTGTTGTATCAATTCATAATTAGCGGTACGAGAGAGTGAGGGATAGCTCAAGTGGTTAGAGCTTTTCTCCCAGTTTCAGGAGATTCTCACCCCCGCCCTTGTGCCTCTCTAAACACCAACAAAAAAAAAAAAAAAAAAAAAAAACAAAAGAAAACAAATCATAATTAGCAGTATTTAAGTCGAGATATTAAAGTAGGAGGTTATGTATCTCGTTTATAATTGTGATTGGGGTCGGATGTATTTTATTTTGTGATACCGAGCAACACGAATGATGATGAATAGCATGATAAGGAAAATACTATGAATTGGTTGAGATTATAGGAAGCTTTTACTTTGCTATTGGTTTTCATTTAGTCCCTGTGGCATTGCAGTCTGAGCGTGCTGTATTTGTGATTTTTTGTTCCTGAGAAGAATGGTTCTATATACTTGTATGTGATAGTTGCCAGTTTAATGTGTATCAGTGTATATATCATACATGTGAATTTGTGCAATTCTTGTAGGACTACTACTAAACTTGGTAGTAGCTGTTCGACTTGGGTTCCTAAGACTGAGAGAGTCCCACTGAAGGAGTTGCAGAAACCTTTGGAGTCTTTATCTGCATCAAGGGTATCCAACCAAAGTGACAGCAGATATGTTGAGGTATCTTCGCCAATGCGTAGTTTTGCAGATAGGTTATTGGATAGTTCGACAAGTGAGAGCAATGGATGCTCCAGGGATGGGAGTCTATCTACTCCAATCAATGCACAAGTGCAACGATCTAAATCCTTTAGTATAAATCACTGCTCACCAGTTTCCAGTGTTCTTGATGAAGAGTTTGACTCGTCAATTTTTGAAGAAATCGATTTATTGCTTGATGGGACTCATGGGAGTTCAGCTAAACAATCTGAGAGGGAAGTAGATACCAGACAGGATCATATGCCAAAAACTGAACCTGATGATGGGAACCACTCCAATACGAGGACCTTCTTTCATACCGAGATTGATAATCTACATGATGTTCAAGGTGATGTTTCATCACCTCTCATTGGGAAAGTAAACATAACACTATCAAAAGAGTGTTCAGGCATGCCAGAATCTTATTCTAAGTATTTGGAGTCACTTAATGAGGATCAACTGGATGCTGCTTCTACTGATGCCTCAACCCCATTGATGGTTGTAGCTGGTCCAGGAAGTGGAAAGGTCAGCCACAATCTTCTACTTTTTACATCTTCAAAGTTATTAATTCTCTTTAGGTGTTCTTTCTTGCAGTTATGCTGATAATACACTATTATGTCTTATCCTACATATTATATAATCCCTCTTTTTTTTTTTTTTTTTTTTTTTTTTTTGAGTGACTATTATAAGTCTGAAGTGTGAGGAGTTTTGATGTTTAAGCTACAACGAAGAAATGCTTGAACTGTTATGTACCACAGATGAATAATTGATTGTCTATTCATCCCAAAAATAAAAAAAAAGAAAAAAAATCAGTTACTTTTAACTATATCATTCCTTGAGTAATGGCCATGTGGATCCAAAACCTATGTTACATGGACTCTTCATTTCACCTCAAGTACCCATGTCGGACCCTCGACACTCGGACACGGGTATGACACTTGGAAACTTCACTTTTGGTTCAAAACCATGGATTTTTTTTCACAAAATAGCTGAGTCGGACGCTTGGACACATACCCATGTCAGACATGGGTATTTGAGTCCATATAAGATAGTCCAAAACTGTAATGTGTTAGTGTCTACTCACCTACTTTTAATAGCTCTACTTTTTAAAATTGAACTATATGTTTATATGAACTAGACAGAGAATATGATTATGTTTTGTTGGCTCTTTGCAAATGGTCTGGTACTAATTTGATAAAGTAGAGGTTGTAGTTTTGATGATCTCTTTTATCTTCGCCATGTCGGAAGAAAAGTTTCCTATTGTTCAATGTTTTCTTGCCTATCATGTAATGTCTTGAAATGATACTCCCATAACTATTATCCTTTGTTGTCTTTAAACTTTCTTGATTTCGTTCTTTGAGAATAGGTTCCTTCAAATCCTCTTCCATCAAAGATGAGGACTTATATAGAATGTGGGAAGTGTAGTTTTGCATCCATGTTAGCTACACCGCATACACGCTTTGTCTTTACAAATTACTAGTAATTTTTTCCTGTTTTTATGTATCAGACATCGACAATGGTTGGGCGTATTTTGATGCTGTTAAATCAGGTAATGCTCTCTTATTCCTAATCTAATACTGATGACTTGTAACAGAACCAGGTCTCAGAGAACTGTTAGGCTGCTGAAAAAGTTTTTATTTCTTGCTTACTTCTTGGAGGATTTGTTTAGGGCATTGGTCCATCCCACATACTGGCAATGACTTTCACAACAGCAGCAGCTTCTGAAATGAGAGATCGGGTTGGAGTAGTAGCTGGAAAGGAAGTAGGCAAAGCATTAACCATCAGCACCTTCCATTCATTTTCTCTGCAACTCTGTCGTGCTCATGCAGATAAGTATGTCAGAACTGTGTTTTGCTTGCATATTTAAATTGAAGGATTTCAAAGTAATTGAATAAAGTTGACTGGTTATTGAGTTGGATACATGATAGAAATTGTTTGAATTTGAAACACTCAACTATCATTTGTTTTTGCAAAAAAGTGTTGTTGCAAGCATCTATAGTATCCTTACCATTTCATAATGATGGTTATTTTGGATTACTTATAACTTGAAAGGAAAATATTCATGCTTTATGAAAATTAAAATATTTTTGATAAGACATTGATCTTGTCCATACAGAAGCAGCCTGACTGACTTATTTTCATATGGTAAACTACTGTTGGTTTTACCTAGGTTTTTTTAACTACCTCCATGTCTCCATCTAATTTAGTTGTTACATTGCTAGTTCATATAAAAATTTATGCTGCCATAGTGATATATGACATCATAGGAGCTAGCCTAGTTTGTGGTTGAATAGTGACATGACATTTAACTTTGGAAATATGTGGCTGATTTGTAGGGTTTAGGAGCATTCAGGTTTATAGTATCCCCTAACTTGTTATTCTGGCGCATCTGGTAAATTTCTTGAAATTAGAAGAACCACTATTTGTAATATTGATTTTAAGTTCAATCAAGGAGCTTTAATTTGTGGTAGAAGTTTCAAGGGGATAAATTAATACTATTTTGGTGATTCTTGTTGTAATAGTATGTACTCCTACGTTCTTGAATGTTCAACTCACTTTCCAACGTTCCTGTTTCGGATGTTTCCATAAGTTTTATTCACTTTTCATTTATTCAATTTTGGCAAACCCTTTAACTATCTTACCCCTCTTGCTCCTGTCCCACACTATTTATACTTTTCCTCTCACTATCTCCCACTTTATTCACTTTTTTCTTGTACCACCTGCCTTTTTCTTTATCCAGCCTTTTCTTACACTCATTCATTTATCCATACATTCCTAGATACAAGAGTCAACCAACGTAAGTCAAACTTTGAGAATTAAGGTAGTAGCTAAAAAAAATGTATAGAACTTTCAAAAATTTGAAATTAAGTTACACAACAAATTTTTTTATGAGCTATAGTATTCAATCGCGTAAAAGGTTGAGTGCACAAAGTCAGATAAGTTTTCAAACTCCAAATGCTGATATTGACTTGTGAAGCTGTTAATTGGAATTGAAGTAATAGGGCTGAGTATTTTGTTTATTTTAAAATAAGATAGATTCAACAGTTATGTTTAAAGGTTAAATTGTGTGGTTAAAAATTTTGTCGCAGACTTTCTATATTTTTTAATCAATTTCAACTGCTAGTGATGTATCCTATGTCAAACTTGCTGTCTGTGAAGACTTAGTTTTTGTTGGCTTCTTAGGTTATTTGGCTGTCTTAATAAGATTGCTTTGACCTTATAATCATAACTCTAATTACCGTCGATAGTGCTTATATTTTAGTGTGCTCTCATTAGAATTTCTTCTCTATCCATGTGAAACAACTCTAGGTTGGGTCGAACATCAGAATTCTTGATTTATGGGCATGGGCAACAAAGGAGAGCAGTTATTGAGGCAGTCCGTTTAACTGAAAGCAATAGCGGAATACAAAGTCTTGATAATTGTGAGAAAAATATTTCTGCCGATGATATTAAGATCCAAGATTTCAAGGAGAAGTCCCAAAAATGGCAGAAATTTGTGACTAAGGTGTGTAAAATGTTAGCTTCTTCTTCCTTCCTTTCAATATTTAGCTACCTTGAAATTTTGAAAGCTTTAAAGCTTTGCATCATACTTAGTTTTGAAATGAGTATGGTGCAAATGGTCTTCGGAGCTTATGGGCATGACAAAGGTGCATGCTTTTTAGATATGAGATGCTCCTTAAGTGCCATAAACCCTATTAAACACATTAATAGTATGTTCTCAAATCAACTTATATACGAGATTATAAATTGACAGAAGGAAGCATAAGTGAATTTCATAACACATTATGCCTTTGGTGTCTTTTTTGCCTGTTAACTCCACCATATACTATTCTCTTTGCCACCATGTAAAGTTTTCATTTCTCTTAGGCACAATTTTATAGGAAAGAAAACTAATGGGGATTTATTGTTTAAAGGTGAATAAGAAAAGAGTTTTGTGGGTATAGTTTAATGTTTTATATGAGATTGATTTGTAGCCCAATGATTCCAATTATCTAGTAATTAATCTTACCTATCTATTTGTGACTTAAGGGCCTAGATTAATTGTTTATCAGGTAATAAATGGCCACATAGGCACTTATTCAAAAAGGCTTTGCTTGAAGAGAGCATTAGCTTTTGATGTATGAATATGTAAGATTTCGCTCTTTGGTTGAGTCCTTAGTGAACCTTCCATTGTAGTAAAGTACATTATTCGTGGAAACAATCATTTTTAAGACTTGGTATTTTGTTTAATGGCTAGTGCTTGGTTCAATAAAAACAACAACAAAGCCTTAGTCCCAAAATGATTTGGGGTCGGCTAACATGAATCGTCCGAAAAGAAAAGGACATAACAAGATAACCAATTGAAAAAGTTTGAGAAAAGGTATGTAAAGTGAGTAAAAGAAAGAGCATCCAAGTAGAATTTCAGAGTTTTAGAAGAGTACCAAGAATAAAATTTTATAAAAAGTTTTAAAGGAGCGGTAAAAATGTGTGAGTAAAAAACATAATGGTTTTAGAAAGCTTTAGCAAAGGAAGTCAATAAAGTTTATAAAACACCAATTAAGTAATATAATAAAAGTTGATGTTAAAATAAAATAAACAAAAGTATTCATATAATCATGACACGTTGTTGACGTGATTATTCTCCCTCCATATCACCCTATCCAACACCATATTTTCCTCAATTTCCAAAGCACTCATATCACTCTTGATCCCACTCGTCCAAGTTTTTTTAGGTCTTCCCCTACCCCTCGCGATCCCAACACTTTGCAACTCTTCAAGCTTCCTTATCGGAGCCTCACTTGGTCTCCTTCTTACATGGCTAAACTACCTTAAGCGATTCTCCATTATCTTGTATTCAGTGGATGTAACCCCTACTTTCTTCCTAATTATCTCATTCCTTAGCCACACATCCATCGCAACATACGCATCCCCTCCACATTCATCTTCTGCACGTGGCAATGCTTGTTTAACTGCTTTGTATCTTATATAAAACTTACAAAAAGCCTTACAAATCTGAAATTCAAGTTATTTCCTTACCATGTTCAATGGAAAATGAGGATGCAACATTAGAGTGTCCATAGGGGGTTTTGTATTGAAAATTGATAGTTTTGTCAATTAGAGAAGGGCATAAGCTAAAGAAAAGGCATGAAATGACTTTTGAAATTGCAAATGTTGAATGATGGATGATCTAAAATTCTAAATTATGATGACAACACAGAAAAATTCCTGTTTTTACTTGTTAGGGCTTGGGTTTTTGTAAGATAAGCAGCCATGTTCCATCAGTCAGCTATGATTAAAGGCATTAGATATTAACCTGCATACTCTGAATGATATGGTTATGAAGCTCTGTCTTTCATAAATGTTTGTTAATTGATTTTATCTTAAATTTAACTAATCATGCTATTTACTGAAGAGTAATACATGTATGCAAATGCCATAGTCTGCTATATTGGGAAGCCATTGAAACCATTTGTCCTAATCTATGTATGTAAAATTAGGTCATTGTACTTATTGTTTCCTTCAAATTTTGATGCAGGCTAAAGCATCTGGTAAGATGCCCGAAGAATGCCGTCAAATGGGTGATCAATTTGGAGTAGGTTCCCTCTTTTATCCTGAATTCGCATGATCATTTTCCTTTTACGTTTTCTCACGTCTTTCGTGTAAAATTTTCCTAAAACTTTTGTTCTGATTTTGCGTCAGGCTACAGTCTTGAGCAATTACAATGACATATTAAGATCTTGTAATGCTCTAGATTATTATGACTTGATCAGCTGCTCAGCGAAGCTGCTAACTGATTATCCTGAAGGTTCTCCTCTTGTCTACTAAAATGGGCAATATAATAAGAATTTCTTTTACAAACATAAATTCTTACTTTTGAACTTTTCTTAGTCCTGGAGGAATGTCAAGCATCATGGAAAGCTATCATTGTAGATGAGTTTCAGGACACAAGTTCTATGCAATATGACCTTTTAAGGCTGCTAGTATCCCATGGACATATAACTATTGTTGGTGATGATGATCAGGTTAATTCTCTGTAAACTCTTTTTGCATTTTGTCTTCCCCATTTATTTAGTGCTTTTTCCTTTGTGTGTGTGTGTGTGTGCATGTATTTCTGTATTTTAGTGTGAATTGATAGTAAAAATGGTGATGCTGTGAATAAGCTATGGTTCTCTGTAACTTTATCTTCCAATTTACTTCAGACAGAAATTGAATTGACACTTGTCAAATTTTCTACTGCAGTCCATATTCAGTTTTAATGGGGCAGACATATCTGGATTTGACTCATTTCGAAAAGATTTCCCCTGCCACAAAGAGGTTTGCCTTGCAATTTTGAATTTGTCTCATGTAGAGTGCATCTGCAGATAAGATTATAACTTCTACAAGATTTATTGATATTTCTGTTTCTCATCTTGGGATATACCTTACATAAGTATGCTGCTTTTACTTCAGGTACGGCTAAAGAAAAACTATCGATCTACTCGCTGTATCGTTGATGCTGCTGCTTCTTTAATTCGGCATAACGTAAAGCGAAGTCAATTGAAACAAGCATTTACGGATAATTCTTCTGGTTCTAAGGTAAATTATTCACCTAGTCACATTTGACATGGGCACGGTGAAGCCATTGCTTCACATCCTGTCTCTCTCTCTCTCTCTCTCTTTTTCCTGTTTCTGTTTAAACTCCTGAGGGTTTTCTTCTTTTCAGATAACATTAAAGGAGTGTTACACTGAGTATGCACAATGTGCATATGTCGTTGATAAAATACTGGAAACCGTGTCAAATTCCTCAGAAACTAATTGTTCGTTTGGCAATATTGCAATTCTTTACAGGAGGCAGGTTACGTTTATGCTATCCATAAATTTTTACTTATTTCACTATCTTCTTCGTTATCTATTGAGAAGCCTAACCCCATAAATTATAATAGGTGTCAGGCAGAGTTTTCCAAGCAACCTTCCGTGATAGGAAAATTCCTTTTAATGTCCATGGTGTGGCATTCTACAGAAAAAAGGTTCAACAAATTTATATATTAAATTACAGTTATTTTGGATGTTATCTTTTCTCCTTTTGTTAGTGTCGGAATTTACAACCTAAATGATATGGAAACATTGATGTCATCTTGAATATAAGTATTTTGGCCTCATGGATGTAAAAGTTAGGTTGTTGATGAGAAGGATAAAAAAAAAGCTAACACCTTTCCATGGTAGTTTTAGTGACATTATAACTGCTTGAACTCAACATAAGAAGCATGTCCTTATCATGCTGATGTCAGCATGGTATGACTTGAATTTGAATATGAACTCAGTTTATAGGTCAAATTTTAGAGAAAGAAACCAAATCAAACTTGACTCCTTTATCACACGAAGTTAATTTGAACCTCATTCCATTTATCTTATAAAAATGTGCACCAGCTTGACTTGACATGTTCACCAACACAACTTTGACAGTTGATGTAATTTTTCAAAGCAAACACCCCCCTATCCTTTGAGTGAGATGGGTCAATTCCACATTGGAATATGGAGAGACTTCTAGAACGTAGGATCTTAATTGATCAAGTGTGTCTTAGATTTTCATTATGGGTGGTTTACGTTATGTTCCCCCATTGTTATAATTTTCGTTATCAGCGGTGGTGGTTTTAGGTTTTGATTGTGATCTGGTGGTGTTTACTTGGGTGGCTGTGAGTTTGATGGGAAATAGGAGAAGGTTTGCTACTTGTGGTAAGGAGGAAGGTGGTAACAAAGGCTAGGCGGTGGTGGCTAAGTAGACTAAGGTTAGGGTGATAGCAGGGTGTGGCTAAGGAGAAGGGTATGTAGGATAAGGGTGGGTAAGGGTATATGTATTTCTTTTCCTTTCTCTTTCACCTCACCTTAATATACCTGCTATAGAATTGCATCAAGAGCAAGTATTTTTCTTTAGTAAAAATCAAGGGGTTTTCTCATGGTGGCCTTGTAGGTTTGTGTTTTAGTTTTGGTAGACAATTTCATATTATTCTATATATTTTTGAATTTAAATATCATTGGTGGCTGTGTTTATGACTTTACGTATTATGGACCTTAAAAACGTATATGTGGAGCTTTTAAAAACACCACTGTTGATTTAAATAATCCATGGTGTGTTTTTGAGAAATTCATTGGAGTATGCTTTTTATGGCACTCCCAATGGTGCTCCTTTGGTCTTCATTTTGCTCCTATATTTTAGAACTTTATTTCGCCCTAAAAGAAAGAAGGGAGGAAAAACAGAATATTGCGTGTGTAGAGCTCTTGTAGAAGCACACCCTTGTTTTTTGTTGATGAGAAGATAAGTTAGGTGAGAAAAGATCGACAATTTAGTTGCCAGGGTCACAAAAGGTAGTTTAATGCCATTAATCAACTCTTTGTAGAGGGTTCTTATAGATGGAGACTAGATTTCTAATATACTTCCTCCATTCTAAATGAGTTGACGTATTCCTTTTTGGGAAATTTCTTTTTAGTTAACAAGTTTCCATATAAGGTAAGTTTTATATGTTAAAATGTCAATTTAACCCTCATTGATTTTACTAACTCTTCTTCTCTCGCCGCCATTGTAGACCCATAGCTATCAATTCTCCTCACTCTATTACGACATTGATCTTCATCATCTTTCCCTCTCCATCTTCACCCTATCGCCATTGCTACTACCACCATCACCTAAAATTTGACAATAACCAACACTCTAATTGTTCCCCAACGATTATGTGACTCCCATTTTTCTTTTCTTATCTCTTAAAAAACAAGCAACCTTACTTTAGTGGCTAAAATCTTGAAAGATGCGAAGGATTTGTGCAAATTTATGGGTTGGAGTTCATTAACTTCATCACTTGCAAAGCTTCCGACAAGTTTCATTATTTGAGTCTTCGCATTAACTCGTGTTGCCGCTCTCATCTTCCTCAAATCTTTCTCTAGCATATATGGAGCTTTTTCGAAAAGAGATTTAGAAATCCCAGCCACCCCAAGATGACGGTAAAAAGGGAGTGGGTGGGTGGTGACCTAGGTGAAGGTGAGGTTGGGGTAGCTAAGGATTAGATGACAGTAGGGCGGTGCTGTTGATGGTTCTGTTAACCTGCAAAGTTGATTGGTGAAGGCTATGTTACATGGACTCGGGAACGAGTGTCGGACATGGACACGTGTCCAAGTATTCGATCCGCCAATTTTCAAAATTTTAGGACACGGGGACTCTGTCCGAAATTTGGACACGGGTGCAGGGACACGTCATTTTAATTTTTTTACAAATAATTTATTTATTACAAAATTGTAAATTTTCAGAATTTCATTAATATCCAAGTAAATTATGTTAAAAAGTACTCCTTCCGTCCCTTTATTAGATGCCTATTTCTAGCATTTATTTCTTACATAATAAAGAGAAGTAGGCATCTAATTAAGAGACGGAGGGAGTAATAACAAGTCCTTAATTAAAAAAACAATAACAAGGTGGAGAATGAGGTGTGGGTGGCCCAAAGAAGTAGATAGGAATAAAGGAGAAAATATCTCCTATCCTTCACGTGATATTATGGAGTATAATTTTTTTTTATAAAAAATGACACTAACAGCTATGACCCACACCCACCTACTATTCCTCCTTTCTCCTTCCTTTTTCTTTCACTTCCCCCATAAACCATAGCTCTGTACGCCATTTTTACTCATAATTCTCTACAAACATGGCATAAAACTTTAAATTTCAGGTCCGATTATGAGGGATTTTCCACGAATTAGTATCTGATTGGCAAGGTAGGACTTAATTTGTAGATTTATGGTCCTTTTCTTGTATTTTTTTTTTAAAAAAATTTAGATCTTTATCTTCTCTTTCACTCTCTTCTCTGAAGTGTCCGAGTGTAAAATGGAGGATCCGACACGGATTTCGTGTCGTGTCATGTCGTGTCGACACGGACACTCCACGATTTTTGCCGTGTCCGATTAACATAGTGTGAAGGGTTATTGATGAAGGGTAATTTTGTCATGACTTTTTCTCATACCTCGCCTAAATATGTGTGCCAAATCGAAATGTGTCAACTATTTTGAAACGGAGGAAGTATTTGCTTATATTAGAAATGTTTAAATTGATTTGATCACTTTATTTGCGTTTATTTATGGTTATATTGTTTTTATTTTGCGATTTAAGATTTTAAGAAACTTCATATTAGGTGAATTGAACATAGCCTCACTTATACTTCACATAAATTTTGCCAAACTCACTTTACTATCTTTACCTATCTTACCCCCACCATATTTAGACCTTTCTACACTCCTTTACCTACTCTTTTTTATTACACCTACACCACCCCTTTTTAACTCCATTTATCTTATTTTTGTAACCATTTTCTTTCACCTACTCACATTTTTAGAAGGTTTTTTATCAGTGTATTTAGAGTAAAATTTAGAGTAGATGAGTGGAACTAAAAAAGGAGGTAGTGTTACCATATTGATTAAATCTTGAAGAATACACTAATTTAAAACCCTTAATTTCAAATTCTAAATCATTTTAATCTTAACCTTTAAGTATTATATATTCACGGTTGTGTCCTTTTGCACAAGAAGTTAATGTGAGCCATTAATAATAAATAATAGGAAAAATGGTTTTTAATAATCCCAGCTTTGGTCGATTTTCTTTAAATAATTCCTACTTTTGATAATTTTGGAATAATCCCAACCTTTAAGGTGCATTTTCTTTGAGGTTAATATTTTTTAATAAAATATTATGCCACATTTCGAATGTTAATTGGTAAAAATAATAAATAAAAAAATACAAAAAAGAAAATAAAAAAAGCCACCCACCGCCACAGCCCCTCCCCACTCCCTCTCTTGCCCCACGAGAAACCACCACCCTTCCCCCAAAACTACCCGCAACCCCCTTAGTTGGCGGTTCGACCCCACCCATCCCTCACCCACCCCTAATTTTGAGCACAATTCAGCGAAAAACTAGAAAACCCACACTATCCCTCCTTAAAAACACTTAAAACCCCCCACCCCCGGTTTTTAGCTTCGGGGTGAACCAAGGGTTTAGTTTTTGGGGTTGAGTTTTGGGGTGGTAGGGTGGGGAGAGGTGGGTTTTGGGCTCTGGTTTCGGGGTGGGTTGAGGGGCGGCAACTGGTTAAGGGTCGGAGGGGCGGCAGGGGTGGGTTGGGGGAATGGGAAACGGCTAGGGAGGGGCTCTGTCTATTTCAGGCCCTGCCCATTAAAAGCCCTTTAAGCTTGGCCATGACCGATTATCATTGGCTACCCTACCCAATAACTAGGTCTACTGGCCACTAGATTCACGCTTGTTCCATTTGAATCAATTCATATGCTGTTTACTCTTATTTTGAAAGACCTGAATTGTAGATTCCTCTCTGTATACACGTGGCTATCAAGGCTGACCTAACAAGGTGGCATTAGTTTAATATCTCTGTATCCAAAAGATGTCTTTCATAGTCCTCAATGTAGGCTACGCCTGTATAAGCTTTATTATTTTGATAATTGTCAACTGATTGATTCCATTCAGTTTAGGAACTGAATATTTGTTGTTTTTGGATAGGTAATAAAAGCAATCTTAGCCATGGTTAAAACAGCTTTGCCTGGGTGTGATGATAACCCTTTTCGTCAAGCATTCAAAACTCTGTTGCTATATGAGAAGGAAGAAAAAAAGAAAGTAATGCTCTTCGTTTCTTTATTTAACATTTGTTGTTATTTTGAAGGACCTCACATAATTGTTGATTCTGATACTAGATATCTTGCCGTTATTATTGATACATGTTGTCCTTGATTGTTGCGGATATTCTTTTCTAGGTAATAGAACACATTGATAAAATATCAACCATAAGGAAGTGCAGCTTTATTTCAGCTGCGTCTGACATATTTAATGCAAAGATATCGGGTACCTTCAAGAGGTTATATTCACACCAACGCTCCATGCCTTTGTATCAAATTAGTTTGAAATCTACAAGTCCTTTCTATTACTTTATGCTATTTAACGCGATGGATTTTAGTTCTGTTTACAGAAGTCAACTCAGCCAAGGACGAAAAGTGCTTCAAACACTTGAGATGATATCAAAACTCGTCTGTCGGGTAATTCTATATCAGCAATGGAATGAGGATTATTCATTTTGCATAGAATATCAATGCAAAGTGGAATTTTGCAACCCATACAATATAATGACAGGATATGATCAAATTTGAACTTGATTTGTATAATACTCTCAATCCTTGTCACTGTAGTAAGAGGTCATATTGTATATATTTCTGTCACAAGTGTTAACCTTTTGTTTATGCAATAGCTTATGCTAAGCTTATCTTTTGGGAGAGTGTGTAGCCACTAGCACATTTTAAACTTATCGCTGCCCTCAATTCTTATTTGTTTGACCAATGCTTGCAGGAACAATCAATATCTTCTATCATTACATCTATTGCGAATCTCCTCCCTCAGGTTCTATGTTGTGAAACTTTTGGTTTATCTCTTGTGTTTATTTATTTATTAATTTTTCTTTGATAACTATCATATGCAAAGCTACAGCTAATATATCTTTGAGTAACTTATAATGAAAAACTAATGTTGGATGGAGTTTGGTGAAGTTGTCTTAAATTTTTTTGCAGCGGTTCTTGTTCTTGTATTAGTCTGCACACTTGTGCATTATTTTTGAGGCTTATGTTGTTGATATTAGTAACCATTGCTCCTTTGTTTTTCATTCGAAATAAGGGAATTAGCAAAAACTTGACTAAAACGTTGCAGAACTGCTAAATTTTCGTTTAATTATTGGCATTCCTTGTTTCTTGGAACATAAGTGTCAACGTTAGTATTTAGGCCATCCCATCAAAAGATTATTACTTTTCCATTTCATTGAACTTATTATGCACCAGTAAAGTTTTTATCTTAGGAATTACTAGCAAAATGTGAAAACAATTAGCATAGCAATAGCTTGAAGAGCTCTCCTTACATTTCCTAGCATGTTGAATAGATACAAATGAGAATTTCACCAATGTTAGGCATAACTACAAATATATTCTTTGTAATACGAGCTTTTGTTGGTCTAATGAGAGAAGAATTTAAGATCTTGTGACTTGCATTGCTTTATTGATATGTAATAACTCCGTTCTGTATTAATTGCACCAATTGGGTTGGGCTCAAAGATTAAGAAATCGGAAAAGGGTAGGCCCACCATATAGGTGGCCCAACCTTGTGGCCCAACTTTACTCTTGTGATTAGATAAAAAAAGAAGAGAGAGGCAAATAAACTAGGGCAAGGTCTAACTTTAGGTCTGAAATGCTTCCCATGAGAGGATTGTTACTATTAATGTGAATCTTCCATAAAGGCAATTGTTGTTATAAATAACGGAGGAAATATTATGTGTATTGACATGTAATTATGTATGAAAAGTATTTCCAAGCCTCACACTATTTGCTTATTGCTCTGATATTTTATTGTCACAGAAATACCTTCTTGAACAGCGGGCAGTAATTAGTGTTGATGGAGGGAAACTACTGAATGAAGACAATGATCTCAGATCTGTAAGCGTGTGCTTTATAAGGATCAGAGGAAACATATTGCATTTTAAACAGCAAACCTCTTTATACTTTGAAAATAGGTTACAAATATTAATTGCTGATTGTGTTTGTCTGCCATGTTGCAGGTGCTTCAATACTTACTAGATGATGTGAATGATTTTTTATCATCACAATCTGTTCCAAGAAAAACTGTACTGGATGATATTGTGAAAAACAAAGGTTGTATTCACGTACTTCAGGCTTTTGTGGACTATATATCTGAAAGGGAGAAGGAAAATTTTCGCTCAAGGAGACAAGATAATCTAGATTCAGTCACATTGACTACCATTCATCAGGTTATTTCCATGTTTTAATGATGAGAAAAGCACTCTGTTCTCTTTAAATTTCACACCGCCATTGGTGACAAAAGATGCAGATAAGAAAGAAGAATTTAGTTTGCATAGTCTGCTATCACCTCCTATATGTTTTGTGATTTGGTTCCATAGTGGTATATTGTGAAAACAGGAACCTCTTACAAATTATCTTATCCTTGTGTATTTTGCAGTCAAAAGGCTTGGAATGGGACATTGTGTTCATAGTCAAGGTAAGTTAGTATGTATATTTTGGCATAATCACCTACGGAGTGAGTGGTTGTATGTGCCTTCATTAAAAAGAATGTCTATGTTTAAATTATGAGTCTAGTCAGCTTCTTAGTATAGAATTTTGTCATTTGCAAAAGGTTATGCATATTATAGATTCACTTATGGTTTTGGAGCCCATCTATTAATTAAATTTTCTTTCCATTTTTTATAAGTGTTTTGCTTTCCTAAATCAGCTGTTTTTATTCAAGTGCATCACTTCCCCCCTTTTTTTCTTCATCTCTCTCCTTCGCATCACTGACCTATAAAGGTCATCAAGGGTTATCCATGTATCAGCTGACCCTTCACAAGGGTAATCCGCAATGTCCAGCAATGAGGATTATTTCCTCCTTTGCTCCAGACTCCACGTCTAGCATGGGTGCAACACACTAGTTGCTCGGATGCTTAATGCAGTCCCCTATATTCCAAGAGGTTCCCATGGTTCGATCGAGAACTATGACATTCAGATAGTCATGGTACAAACAACCAAGTGCCCAGCCGTTTGGGACTTGTGTTGCTTTACTTAGCTAGCTCCCCATGCGAAGCTAAGCGTGCAAAGTCAACACTTATGCTGTAAGGTAAGGTTCCATCGGGAAGGGTTTATTGCCTTTTATCAGCACAATTCCTTAGACATCCCCACTAAGCGCTTCAAGAACAAAATTCTCGAAATTTTGGTGTGATTCGCAAAAAACTATGCTTTAAGGACTTACGGCCCACATCCCGCATTATCACACTTGCATAGTTTTCAAGTCAGAATTATAAAGTGGAGTGGCACCTCATCGATAACCGTCGTCCACATATTCGGCTTAACTCGGCTTAAATTGGGTCGTTGATTAAGCTAGTAATTTAGTTATAACCAATGTTAAAAGGAACGTGGTACAGAGCCACGAATCGCGAACTGATTCGTGCGAACTGAAACGCAGAACAAACGCGACCTGGGTCGCTGGTGGTCGCGAACCAAAACGCTGAAGGAGGTGATCCCTAGTAACATTTTTTTAAAATTTGTGCACACTAGGGTGGCGGCTAGGGTTTTGTTTCAATGGGTGAATGGGCTTAAACCTCTATCAACAACTTTGGGCTTTTTTAAATGAACAACTTGGGCTTTTTATTTTATACTCTTTTTTTTAGCAATCCACTCACCTAGATATAAATTTTATGGAGTTAGTATATACTTGTATTTATTTTATTTTCCAATATAAAATCTATCAATAAAAATCACCTATATAATTTTTTTTATTAATTTACTTATTTTGTACCCAATCGTACCGGATTCACCACGGGTAGCGTTCCGCGTATTCGTTTCCGTACCACGTCTCGAATCGAATCCCGTCCCTTGTAACCTTGGTTATAACGCACTACGACTATGAAAACAAGCAATGTAATAAAATCAAAAGCTTAAATTCTCATTAATACAATATAATTTATAATGATGTGTATTCACAAAGAAGCAACAAATAAAACCCAGCGAAACATAAAAAAATAGATAAGCAACAACTAGACAATAAACATAAATCCACAAAGGATATCCTCAAACTTCAAGGGGCAAAGAAACCAAACTGAGGTTTCAGACGAGCATACTTTGGGGTAGTCGGGTTGTATTAAGGCGATGGAACCACCATGTTTCCCTCATAATCACTGAACAATAACCTTTCCAACTAGCCGAGTCAATCGAACATGAACATGGCCCCAGCAACACCCGCTCCTTCATCCTCAGAGTCGGAGAGGTTAATCACTTCCACAGCCTTGGTTGTTACCTTGATTACATTGATTGCCTTTGCCAACTCCCTTGTCCTCTTAACCGGCACCTCACTATCCCTGTTCACCTAGGAGACTCCTCGAGCCAACCACCTGCATTAGAAACGTTAGTATGGGTGCTTTGAGCGAAGGATTGGACAAAATGCTCCACTCCCACCCTAACGTGTGAGATGAAGTTGCTACTAACATCCTACACCCTATTGCACCACATTTCCATTACTTCGGCTTGTCAATCATCCAGCTCGAACATCTCGTCAGCCTTAACTTGGTTCCACGGTTCCACCACGAGGTCTAAGGGTCCTTAGGGTTGAACCTAAGTTTTCCACGGTTCTCCTTCACAATGGACTTCAAGTGGTTAAGAGACGACCAAGGATCATTGGAGTACATCACCTCACTAGCAAGATCCCCAAGGTAAGTCATCACCCTAACATACAAAGGATCATCATTAAGTAAATCTTCCAACTCCTTGGTAGGCTAAGGGGTGCTTGTCCTCGGAGGAGGCACGAAAGCACTTTGCTCACTAGCATTACAAGGGCGGGGAGGCTTGTTGGCACCGGCATTGCTCGACACTCCCTTAGGGATATCACGAGTGGACGTGAGCTTCCTAACAGTAGGGTTTGTAACAATCCATGACGACTTTCCTAAACGAGATGGTTGCCTCATCTTAGTGTGTAAACTTTGAGGGGATCTTTGCCTTTCTGGCAGGTCGGACCAAATTGTCACGGGATTTTTGTTGACTAACTTTTTTTTTTTTTTCTTTCTAAATTAGTGACCTTAGAGGTTCCCTTTATGGGGCCTAGACAAAGTCTAGACCAACCTAACAACACTCATAGAATAAGGAACGCGCACACAGGTAAGAGAGCACACAAACACAAGCACAAGTAGGATTACTTTTTTTAATGTATGGCACACCAATATAACAAGGAGTTTCTCTCTCTAAATTCTCTCTCTAAAGAGCTCCAAGAATTCTCTCTTTAGCAAATGAATGCCTTTGCCTATTTATTGGCACTGAAGTAGTCACTTAGAATAACTACCCACTACGCCCATTACACCCATGATCTAAGTAACTGCCCACTACTTGCATGGTTATTTGGATGCATCTTGACCTGTCCACGTACTAAGGGAAGTTATTCATGTTTAGCATGATTCCATAACCGTTAGGTAATCGTTGAGTCCCACTATGCCATGCTCCTACATTTTAGAAGGCATGTATCAGCTGTGCCTATGTGGCGCCAAGCTACTCAATCAGCATAACTACCCAATCCCCCTTAGTGCTCTTATTTTCTAGTTACACTAAGTGGCATAATTGCTAGATGTCGTGACATTCCTCCATCAAAATAACTACCCACGTTCTAGGCAATGCCCCACTACTTTGGTGCTCCTATTTTATAGGAAGCGCCTTAGTAATGGCTTAATCGTATTTCGAATTGACTTCGGTCAAGATTCTGATTAAGGTAACTGTTACTTAACCCACTAACATTATGACCCTATATATTTTAGGAACCATACTTAGTCACGTGCCACCTTAGCAAATCCGTACTTATATTTTAGGGAGTGTGGTGCAACGTGGGTGGTTACCATAACCGCCCACTATCCCCACACCTCGGCCCACCCTAGAATCAAGGCAACCGTTTGCTATTTCGATGCTTGAGGTAGCCATCAAGGAATCCCTACTATCGTGGTTTGCTAAAGTTGTTCATGGTTACACCATTCTATATTGCCAAGGCTCTTCTTTAGCAACCACCCCATGGCCACGTAAGTCCATGGTTCCACCATAGGGACCATAGTCATCGTTGACTAGGTCGTGCTTGCTCCTCCATGGGGGAGCCTCTGTAGTCTCCGCCATAGTAGTGACTGTAGAGACTTCCTTACATGATCCCAAACACATCCTTACATCAAAGCACGCTCGTCGAGCTAGCATGCATCGTACTAAGCCATTGGCTAGGCTAGTCCGCCCACGTGCCCCTTTGTCGAGACCATCAAGTCGGTTTGTCTTGTCGAGTGTTCACCTTAGCCATCCTTATGTGCTATAGTCCCCATAGGCCTTCCTATGTCCAAGACTATGCCTAAGACTCCTAGCCATAGGGCCACCCCTTGCTCAGCGTTTGAGTGAGCACTCGCCCCTATGGAGCTTTATTTTGTTTTGGCCTAGTAAACCTAGTGAACACCCAACTGACAATAACACAATAATGGGTTCCCGAGCCCAACCATGTATGATCTATTAGGGTCCTAATAAGTCCCTTCAATCTATACCAAAGGTTGTTATGGAGTTTTGCTCATCAAAACACTCTGAGGTTCCTTAAGTGCGCTCACGCGGGCTAGCCACAAGCCAAGGCCTAGTTGGCTAAGCACTTGCTAGCACCAAGATCTAAGCTCATGGGGTTATTCCTTATAACCTCACAAGCCTTAGACATGATTGTGAGTTGCTTTAGCCTCACTTGGCTTGTTCTTCTTGAATCGAGCATACACTTGCTCGCGTAGGCAAGTGAGTCCCAAAAGCCTTGCGTGCCTATGCGGGATGGTCATCGCCCTTGCTTAGGTCCACCAAAGTGACTGCGACATACCTCCCCCACTAAATGAGGTTGACGCCCTCGTCAACTATTAAGAAGGTAGATCCTCACTTGATCTATGTTTCCCCAAGCACAATGCCTTCACTTAATCCGGGCTCCACCGCTTTTCTCTTTAGCTTTGGACTATGATTTTCCATTACTCGGGAATTGTCGTGCCCATCACGACTTGCCTTATTGTCACGAAGTTGAGCCACCCCGTAGCTTCCAACGTGCACTAGGATGTCGAAGGAATTGTGCTGATAAAAGGCAATAAACCCTTCCCGATGGTACCCAACAGCACAAGCATTTGACTTTGCATGCTTAGCTTCGCATGGGGAGCAAGCTAAGTAAAGCAACACAAGTCTCATACGGCTGGGCACATTGTTGTTTGATACCATGACTATCTGAGTGTCATAGTTCTCGATTGAACTATGGGAACCTCTTGAGCTGGAAATTTGGTTGCTTCAAGCTTAACATTTGGTGCTAGCAAGTGTAACACTTATTTGTTTTTTTTATATATTATTAAATTAATCAAGTCAAAACCATTATTTGATAATGATAAAAGTCAAAGTGTAACACTTAATAAAACATGACGGAATATTAATTTTTTTATTCCCAACAAACTCCACTAATACAATGTTTTATTACATTTAAATGACCATACTAAAACTATTTCCCGGTCAAACTGATGCACAACAACAACACCACCACCTACAAAGCCTCAGTCCCAAGAAAAACCAATGCACTGAATTGGAAAAAAAAAAAACTGAAGGGAGTGCGAAATAAACTGATTCACTGATATTTCAAGAGACATGTACCTACAATCATCAAGCCCACATAACTTGGTGCTCTCCTGACTTTGACCATGAGCTCAACAACAGAATAGTGTTCAATTGAAGTCCAAGGAAGTTTTTTCACATATTAATGAAGTAACGAGCTATTAAATTGTAAAATCTTCAATGTTTGTGTTTTGTAAGCCTCAATATCATTAACAAGCATAAGTTGACATTTCTTAGATAATGTTATTGGCTTATTGCACTGGACTATTTAGAGAATAGTTTTATTTTCTACTTGAGCTTGAAATTTGGCTGCTTCAAGCTTAACTATATTAACAACCCGTTTGGCTGGATATTAAGGCTTCCGATCAATAGTTTGGCTCAACTGTTTAATTTAAAGTTTCTGTCAGTTCTTTGTTCTGCAAAATGTATTATATCTTGTATTTTTCCATATAGATATGCTATTTCTTTGGGAAAATCAGTATATAAATCTTGTTCTGCATTCCAGGCAAATGATTCGGAGATTCCACTGTTACATGAGCATAACGGTGTTGCTACGGAACGTGGAAATTCTCTTGAGGTGGGCACCCTTGTACTTCAAAGTTTTTGCAATGCTTATTGCCATGAATCAGTTGAGAACTATAAAATCCTAACTTGTAAGGTTCTGCTTTGATCTGCAAATTGCAGGAAGAACGGCGTCTATTGTATGTGGCTATGACTCGTGCTCGAAAAAAGCTTTTTATGTTGTATGTGACAATGGACTCAAACTGGCAGGTCATTATTTAGAAAAGTGCATTCTTACTTTGGAGTTTCATACTCCCAGATTTTGACAACATTGAAGTTAACTTCAGGTGCTTCACCCTTCTCGTTTTTTTCAAGAGATTCCAACGCATCTACTGGAGGTTCAGGTATATCAGTGTTTATTTCTGTGCTAGAGACAGATATGGAATGCTATATTAGTTCCTGCTGTTAGCTTGTTAAAATATCTAGTACCTCTGGTGGCTTGTGTGTTTGAAGGATGACAATATTACCAATGCTTAGCCCTCTAATGTGAGAGTTGTAAATAATACACTAGCAATGGTCTCTAATTCCACAGTCTGTTATACTGTTCTCCCCATTTTTAATTTTTTTTCGTTTTTCTTTTGTTGTAATTACTACCCTGTCCATCTGATGTTTCAATTACTCAATTAGCACAGCCCTTACAAAAGTATTATTATGTGGATACCTTCATTTCACAAAATTCCCATATTATGTTGTCTGTTTTGTCTATGATTTGATGCACGGTTCAGTTGAAACAGTAACTTAAAAAAATGCAGGGTGGTTTTGGCATGGGTATAAAGGTGCAAACTCATGTGATACACTGATATCCCTACCTTTTTAAAAGTATGAGATAACTCTTATGAATAGTGCTTAGACAATAATACCCTTTAAAATTGTTTACATATTTTCCCTCATTAATACTTCTAACAACTAAATTTGTGATGCAAAACTAAACCGAAAGAGCTTTCCGAATATTGCTAGCTATGGCGCGCGCATCGCGCGCGTTAGCTACCCTAGTATTTTAAAAGTTTTTAAACAGTCAAATTAGTCATTTTTATGAGATAGCAAGAGAGGGAGTCTATGTTATATTATTGTTTTTCGCTTCTTGATATGATTTTGTAATATATGATATGATGGAAGGTAGAGTCAGGAACAGCTTTTCTACTAAGCTGCAGGAGTTCCTAGTAGTGCCAACCCTTAAGAATAAATTGAGATACCAAGCTATCAATCGGGAGGCTTGAAATACTAAAGTTGTGTGTCCAGTCTCACGGTGTGATGATGTGATGTTATCTATGAAAGTGGCTTTTGTTTGTAAGGGAGTCAACTTTGTGGCTTTTGTTTGTGCAGCAGATTTCCTAAAAATTGTATAACTGGTATCATGGTGCTTTCTTGTATAAAATCTATAAACTGTGTCTTTTCCTCTGTGAGCATAGTTATTTGCTGTCCACCTATAGGATTTGGATGCCGCCTAGGAATTTTTTTTTTAGTCTTCAGCATGGGCATCACAAAGGGAAGGGCTTACAACTTCTGTTGGATCACCCTAAGATGATCATTTCATGGCTATTGAGAACTAATCAAATCAGATGGTTCTTTTTTTTCAATCTTCCTGACTTGCTCCTATGGAACCAAGACCGAAAAGATTGAAAAAATAAGTCATTCGCAACCACTGATGAAGGATTCCTCGAAAAGTTAAGGATTAGTAATCTTTTTTAGAAATTGAACAGATTCGGTCTTAAACATACGCTAGGAAGGGAAATCAAAAAAGAAAGAACTCATCTTCCTTCTCTTATCACTTAGGAGCCGAAGGGTCTGTGTTCAATAATTAAACTCTGCTACCTGTAGGAAATCTTCCTTTTAATTTGTCCAAAATATAGTGATAAGTGTTAAAGGTCCATACCCATTTTTGAGTATCAAATATTAATAATCTGACATGGGTAATTAAGGTGAAAGGAAGTGTCAGAGTAACTTGGCACACATTCATGGCTGCATGCCATTTGAACTAGAATAAATCAAGAACGTAAAGTATAATTTATTCTAATTTATTAATCAGCTCAACAATGTGACAGCTCTAGGAAAATAGAATAAGAAACAGTCAATAGCTGGTAACAAAAGCAAATTGTAATCACCAACAGGAACACAGTATATATCTCGGTTTATGTTTAAGCTTCTTGAAACTTACTATACTATTGCCGTGTTTCCAGTAACTTTTGCTTAATTGGAGATACGAAACTCAGAAGCTGCATGCAATGTTTCTGTTTTTGCAGGCAGACTTGAATTTATCTGTACATAAAGAACTATCTGTCAAAATCAAGTCTGAAGCTATGGAGCCATGGGAAGCTGTAATAGGAAATGATTCTCCTAGCTGCAAGATAGACAAAGCATCGGAAGATTCAAGAAATATAGAAGCCTCAGAAGATTTGATAAATATAGAAGCATTAAGTGGAAACAGTTTCTTGAAAAAGTAATTTCCCAATGGCACTTTTATGTCCCTTTTTCTATATCAGACGGTTTCTTATGACGATTCATGTTAGCTGATCCCAAATCATTTTGGGACTAAGGCTTTGTTATTGTTGTTGTTGTAGTAATTGTTCATATTATAATGGTGCATTTGATGTCTTGGTTTTTTTTTTTCTTTATTATTATTATTATTATTGAATTTATCTTTGTAATCTATTCTAATATTACTTGTTTACAGGTTCAATGTTGAAGACCGAGCACTGGTTTCACGAATATTTCATCAATGGGCCAAGAAAAAGGCTTTTCAAGATCCTAAGAGGCTACTTGACAAGGTAATGTTTTGAAACAAAGAATATTACTTTTTGGTCACTAGATATGACATCGACTAATTATAGCTCATCAAGGATAACAATCCTTGATACTTTGATAGTACACTTGGATGATTCAAGGTCCAAATTGTAAATTGGAACTAAATTGTGGGCTGTCTTCAAACATCAGTGTGCAATGAAAGGATCTGTTATTGCTGTTGCGTTTTTAATTTGTTTAGGTGTTTTTACCTCTATTTTCCCATTTATCATTACCCATTTATTGAAAATGTTTCCTTCCCAACTTTGCATAAGTGCTGGGATTTTGTTTAGGGTTTGTTGTTGTCATAGGATGTGCAATTTGTTGAGCTAAAAATACTTCAAAAAACAGCAACACTGGAAAATGGAAAATGTATGCAACGTTGTCAGCATCAATTTTGATTAAAAATGCGATATGTAATTTCATACAGTCTTTGTTATAGTGATTTGGTGTTGGAAATCACTGTGGGATAAATAATTTAGCTTGCCTAGTAAGATTCATTATATATGTGGATTCGGAATTAGTTCTCCTGTGTGCACATGACATGCCATGTCGACCTTTGGGATACAACCTTGCAAATTCATCAACCTGTTATATTCAATATATTTATTGGTTTTATACGAGATACCAATTTATAGAATAGCATTGATAAACTTTGTAAAATGAACATCCACATTTTTTTTTGTTGATGAATAATTTTGATGATAAAATAATTACATTTGCACCTTGAAGATATTTGTAGGTTGGGAAAGATACGCTAATACTAGGGAAGTTTCATCCAACACAATATATAAGCCTTTAATTTTGTACTTTGTACTCCTATACTTCAAGTTTCTCGTAATATTTTATTTTTTTTATGTATTTGGACTCTGGTAGATTGTGTTGTTTTTATATACGCAGTGATTTTTGTAAATAACCTAGTTCTTGAAAGTTATGTATGCCCTTAGTCTCCAAATAAAAGTCCCATTTCACCCAAAAAACCATTGTCTCTTAATGTCCCATTTCATCTTTTTTTTTTTTTATTTTTTTTTTTGACCAACCAAATCCCACTATCTTCTTTTTTTCAATACACTGTTAATCAATCAAACACCATTATCTTCCTTTCATCTTCACCAAACCCCACTATCTTATTTTATTTTGTCACTTTCCTAAAAAACTTGTGCTACAGACAAACGAGGCTTTTATTTGGGGACAACGTATTACATTTAATTTTTCTTCATTGAAAGTTGATATGCTAGCCTCAATGTTTATTGACTTAAGGTTTTTCATTGCTTGTAGGTGAACTTTGTTATCAATGAACGTTTGAATATCAAGAAAGGGAATAACAAGGTATGCTGATTATATAATCTTCTCATTTATTCCATGTAACCATCCTAAGATTGCCTTACTTTTCTTTTCCTTCAATTAAATTTCTATTCTAGCATTGTTGAGTGGCTTTTTTTGTCTGTATCTAGTTATGGCTGTTTAGAATTGGAGAATTAGGAAGCACCTATCATTGGGTAGTGAAGTTTAATGGCATCCAAGATGGAAAATGGGATTTCACTTTATTGAAGATAGAAATGTATGCCAGTTTGGTTGTAATGTGTATAAACTAATGGAAAATTTGCCTTTTGCTACTACTAAAATGCACCACTTTGATTTTTGCTACCCATCTAAAATTTTGTTTTATTTTACTACCACCCAAAACTTAAAAAAAAATAGGTTTTTCTACCACTTAACAGTTCCGTTACTATTTACGATTGTGGGGTCCCACTTATTCCTCCTTGCTGCTATCACCTTAACCTCCACCCCACATATTTATTAACCTTCACCACACCTTCACCCACACAAATCCACTAATAACTCCCTTGCTCCCTGCACACAGCCACCCCACAAACCTACAGCAGCATCATGTTGCAGCTCCCCCTACCAACTCTACCTTGCACCACCTATTCAAACCAAGCAGCAGCTAGTCACCGCAATCAGTGGCGCTGCCCCAATTCCAACCCCACAGCTCCGCTCCTCCCGCACATCCTCAAAAACAACACCACCCACATTGACCATGATCACCATCGCACCACATCTTATCGCTCAATCTCATTGCCGCCGGCAGCCATTAAACACCAACAATAATCGCCGAACCTCCAACACCAAGGAGCCAACAAGCCTTCATTTACAACTCAAAAATCCATTGGGATTTGAAACAAATGCTTCTTGTAATCAAGCGATCGCTCCACTATCATCGAATTATTTCAATTCGAGGCCGCGATTCCGTTAATTAATCTAATGGTTGAGATTACTTGGTGCTTGGTGAGGATGTTGCCCAATGATGGTAATGATTGGTGTTGATGATTGCGTGGTGGGGGTTGCCGGAGAGTGGGTGGTGTGGCCGGAGAATGGGTGGGAATTTGGGATGCTGTGTGGAGGTTCGTGGAGAGAGAAGAAGAAAATGGAAGGAGGTAAATGAGTGGGCCCCACAAATGGAAATAGTAACAAAATCGTTAAGTGGTAGCAAAACCTATATTTTTAGGTTTTGGTTGGTAGTAAATTAAAATAAAATTTTACTCCCTCCGTTTTTAAATACTTGCTCCATTTCTCCATGCGCGGAGTTTTAGGAGAAATTGGAGAAAATAATAAAATATGGAGGTAGTGGGGTTAGTTAAAGGTAAATTTGAGGAGAGAGAATCTAAAGGTAATAAAATATAATTATATTGGGTCCCACTAGTTGAGAGAAATGAATTGAATATTATAAAAACTTGTCAAATAAGGAAATGGAGCAACTATTTAAAAACGGCCGAAAATGGAAAGTGGAGCAAGTATGTTAAAACGGAGGAAGTAGATGGTTAGCAAAAATCAAAGTGGTGCATTTTAGTGGTAGCAAAAGTCAAATTTTTCTAAACTAATTATGAGGAATAAAATTCAGTGGCCAATATTTGCTTGTATTATCTTAAGTTTAGTATTCAATTAGTATGTGTTAGCTTTAATTTCTCGTGTGATTGGCCATAAGGGCTCCTATAATCATATTTAGGGAAGACACCCACTAGCTTGTGCCAAACAAAATATTTGTTGTGTTTAGATAGCCATTTTTTAATTTTTTTTTTTTTAAAAATCTTTGTACAAGATTTGTGCTATGACTCATCATTACTCTTCATTGAATAGTTATTGCATTAGTATTCTGTTAATCTATGCACAGTCATTAGCATACTTGAAATTTTTATTGACCCATTAGCAGATGACAATTGAATTTTGGATGCAGCTTATGTATGTTGAGTGTTAGTGTATGTGGGTGTGCATGATCATATTACAGCCTCAATTTACTGGTTTATTCTTATATATTTAAGTATCCTCTAATTCTCTATCCACAATTTATTGTTTCTTCTTGTGCTATTTATCATCTCAAAATTCTTGATCAATAGAAATTAATCTAATATATCCCTGTGTGCATTACTTGCCTGGTTTCTTATCCTGAAGAATTTCTGCATTTCCTAGCTCTTAATTTCCGTATGACAACTGCATGCCTTACTTGAATTACATGGGTGTTTGACTATGAATTGATCCACTATTGTTGGCCTTGGGGATCTGACTTTAAGTTTGTCACGTTTTGCAGGATATTTTGGTTGCATTGAAGTTGTTCCTGAAATGTGAAGAAGCATTTCAATTTGCTGACTATGTAAGCTCCTTTGTTTCTTTGTAGCTGGGTGGGGCTTCTGGGGGTATAAGAGGAGAGCTAAGCTGTTTTTATTTATAAAGATCCATTCTTTGTTACTTTGTTTTCTTTACACCTTTTTTTCTCTCTACAATGTTTGATACTAGGTTATAAAGTGGGAGCTGATACCATCTGAGAAACGTCTGCATTTGACAAGGGAAAGACAGGTAGAGCTTTCTTGTTGTAACTTTTATATGAGAGAACCTTTTCTGCATTTTGATTTAATCAATTGTAGCAATCGTTTGATGCTTTATGATGTGAACTAGGCTTGCTAAACCTGATCATTGTGACCAAGGTTCCATTATTGTGATAAATTGATCTAAACTGTAGATCACTACTAACCTAGATAAAGAATGACAGTGACTTTAGCGGATTGAACAGTTCACAAAGGAAGATTTTAACCTAGATATTTGATAGGCGGTCGCACACCTAGCAAAAATAACCTAACTATTCCTCCTAATTATGTAGCAGGGTAAGTCAGGGTCGATCCCACAGAGACTATGGTTCACCCAATTTATCTAGACTCAAGTAATTACCAAGCAAGAATCAATCAATGGTAGAATAACTAAGAGCTAAAGTATGGAAAACTAGAATAAATCAAACGAATATAATGAATCAATAAGCTAAAACATCCAAGATCAAGTATCACCACAATTACGATCGATGCAATTATATATCTACCCCTAACATACAATTCCAATTAACATGGGGAAAAGTAAACCCTAATCAATACCAAGGACCTCTCTCGAGTATCAATGGCTTCCCTAACCCACAATCAAGCCTATTCTCATGGTATCATGCAAATTAGAGACATTAAACACTTTACTTCACTTCCCAATTATCAATTCAACTACTCTCGTGATGAATTTCAAACCCTAAATTAATCTATTCCGTTAAAATCCAACTCTCGTTGTGATAGAAACAATGGAATAATAACAATACTAATTATCTCTAATATAGCATTGGCATAATCACAATCAATTTAGTATAAACAATTGCAATGGTTATTAGAGAATTTAAAGAATCAATTCATGCATCAATCATAATTGGGCTACCCTAGATCTTGGAATAAGAAAACTATTCACACATATTGAATGAAGCAATAACAATAATAATCAAGGAAAACATAATTGAAAACAAAAATAATTGAAAGAGAAAGGAATAGAGATGAATACCAATGATGCTTCAATTGAAATTACTCAAATTGTTAATCAACAATACTCAAATCTAACCTAAGAGTTAAATTGCTAAAAGGAATAAAACTGAAGTTCTAGAGAGAGAAAGAGGACTTAAGGAAAATCTGAATAATCCATTAATGAAAATTACACCGGGTATTTATACCCTTAATGACCTAAAAATAATAAAATTAGAATTCGGAGCTGCGCACAACTGTGCCCGGTTTGACCGGGATTGACATGCGCGATCGGGCACATGGTATAAACAACAGCGCTGCTTTCTTCTCTGAACTTCCTCTGCGCCTGATCCAACCGGGCAGGTAGCACCCGATCGGGCGCGAGTTACAACGTCTACCCTGGCTGCCTTGCTGATCTTCATAATCTTGAACGTCTCCAACCTCCACACGCCCGGTCCAACTGGGCGAGGACTGCCCGATCGGGCGCGTGGCATAAGAGCTTAGAATAGCTCCTTCGCTTCAACATTAGTGTCAGCCAACACTCCCTTCTGTGCCCGATCTGACCAGGCATGCTGAGCCCGATCGGGCACAGTTATAAAATCTGCTTTTCGCTTCTTGTTCTTCAAGGATCGATTCTTGTTCAGCTCGGTTTTACATCCTTGTTCACCAACATCTCCAATATCGCTTAAAACGTGTCCGAACGTAAAACTTATGAAAATGCACCGAACACACTAGAGGAGAATGTTAGCGGAAAGTGGCTCTAAAGAGCCTAAAAACTATACAAGAATGTAGTGAAAAGTCGGGAAAAACATATGTATAAAACGTGTATATCAATATTGTTTTTTGTATCCATCAATTTTATAATGTTTAGAATTATACTAATTTTGGACTTTTAGAAGAAACTCTGTTAGAAGAAGATTCATTTTGTTCTCGCATTGCCTTTCTACAATATGTAATGCTTCATTTTGGGAATTCTAAGTCAAAGGGTTTGATCTTTGTCAATGGAATCTTCACTTAAGGAATGCTTTGCTATGAAATTAGGTGAATTGACTAATCAATTATAGGTGATCCATAAGCTCTATTCTCTTTTAAAAATATCATATTTCTTGTAGCTTGCTGAATCCTAATTTTATTAGGGGTCGTTTGGTTCGCGCAGGGGAATCGGAATGGAATGAACAAAGGGAATGAAAGAGAATGGAATGAAAAACCATTCCATGTAGTGTGTTGTTTGTTTTAAAAATATAAATGAAATCACCCCCACCACAGCACCACCACCAACACCACCACAGCACCACCACCAACACCAACACACACGCCTTTTTCCTTCACTTTCTCACTTCTCCAACCACCCTACCGCCCAGCCATCACCTTGTCGGAATCCCCCGGAGCCCGTCGCACCACCCCTCCCTCGAAAATATCTCCCCCTCCCCGGAAAACCTTCCCCTAATCCCTTTCACCTTTCCTTCTCCTCTGAACCAGTCATTGCCGTCAATTCCAAGCTCATAAACCCTAATTATTCATCATCAATACCCTCCAAATCCCAGAAAACCCCAATTAAGAAATCCAACAAATTCTCGTTTTTCTTCTATTCGAACTTTGCTCAATCGAAACAGGGGATGCGATGGCCGACGAGTGGTCGGGGAAGGTTTTCGAGGGATGGGGGAGGTGCGACAACCTCCGACAAGGGGTGAGGGAGGTGCAAACAGGGGCAGTGAGTCCCGACGAGGGGTTGGGGAAGATTTTCGAGTGAGGTGCGAGCTTACTGGAGGTCGGCGAGTGGCGGAGAAGGGACGGCGTGGCCGGGGGAAAAGCGGTGAGGTGGTTGGGTGGTGGTTGTGCGGTGGGGGTAGGGTAGAAGGGTGGTGGCTGGTGTAGGCACGGTGGTGTAATGCTGGCTAAGGAAAGGGAATGGAAAAGGCTAGGGGGGTGGGGAATGAACTTAGAGGGATTTGGGGGAATGAAGAGGGTAAAGGGATTGGAAAAGTGGCCTAACAAACAACAACAAAGGGAATGATTCCCGTCGATTCCCATTCCCTTTGTTGAATACCCCCAACCAAACGGCCCCTTAATGTCTAGCTTGAGTTCAAAAAATTGGTTTTTTTGGCATGTTTGGCAAAAACTTATTGCAAAAAGGACCTGAACCAATGTTCTTTGTTCTTAATGGTTTCGTGTGTAGATCTTACTATTCTCAAGTATGTTGGTTTAGATGTGTTGGTGGTTAAGAGGAAAATCGTAGCTAGTATGCATGGGGTCGCTTGGTATTTAGATGGCAATATAAATCAACTCTTTTGAACTCTAAGGAGTATTAGTCAATGTAGGATTCCTCAGGGTCTCCTTCACACACCAACTTTTCACTGGATAAAGTATATAAGACAGATAGAACAGGATGGCTAAATAGGACCTGAGCCAAATCGCTTTTCTTGCAGTGCAAAGCCTGTGTGATTTTTTCTTGCAGTTCTTCTTTAGTTTTACAGCTATCGTCTACTTTTGTTTTAGACTTAGCACTGAGAGGAATAGAGGATTACCTGCTCCCCTTGCTTCACTAGCTCTTGATCTTTTGTGTCATCTTGTTTGGATATCTGAATCCCAGTGAGATATCTGGTTCTCTTGGGTTTTGTTGTATTAATTGTGCTTAGTTCTGCATCTTTTATTTTATAATTCCATCCTTTTCATTGATTTGTCCATTATTTAAACAGGAACATTTCCAGAAACAGCGGATGGAGACTGCAATGGGTTCATCATCCCCAACTTCTAAGCAGGTAAAAAATTATCGTGTTGACGCATAAGTTAGCTGTATAATGACATATACACCCTTAAATATATTTAGAACTTGCCTCCCACATTTTTACTAGGGGCTGAAGTGTGAGCCAAATAACATCTCTACTATAGTTGGATAGAAATATAGCTTTGATTTGTCATGTGAAGTGATGGGTATCATAGTAAAGATGTATTCTGCTCTTTTGGTCCTCCACCTTCTGATTGTTTTCTAGCATACTTTGATGCAATTCCAGCTTTGAATTCGACATATATTGTTATATAAATGTTGGATATTTAATTACTGTGCCAAGGGTAGTGCTTCTACTTTGGCAAGGAACACTACCTAAGCTTTGCCTAAGTGTCACGGTCCGAGTGGTTTGACACCAGATCGTGCGGCGCGCTCTTATCTTTTAGAAACAAGAACGCAAGCCTAGAGTGAGAGAGGTTCGTGGGCACACAGCAACACGGACCAAAGGTATCTCAATGAGGCAATCGTTAGTAACGAGTGCAGGGTCGGGGCTTGTGACGGCCGATACTTCGAAGCGGGCACAAGCGGAACCGACAAGGATGTAGGCGTCTTTGAGAGTCTCTTGGTTTGGTGGGGAGCTTTAAAACAAGGCAAGCACACTATCTATAAAGGCTTAAATCAACACACAAGTCTTAAAGCAAGGCAACCCGAATAGGAGCTTTTTCATTCATTCAACCATCGCTCCATATAGAGCTATATATTGTTTACATGGAGAAATACTAGTGAACACTGAAATGACAGTAACACAATAATCTCCTCTAGCGCCTAAACTACTTACACGAATACATTGAAAGTCTAACATAAACTAAGTAAAGACATAAGAAAGCAAAATACATAATGAAAGAGGTTGGATCCTAACATCCTCCCCCACTTAAGCTGTCGACGTCCTCGTCGACTTACAAAATATGACTAAGGAGACTAAAGTTCTTGATCCTTAGGTCTCTGTTGAAGAGGTGCTGCGCTGTCTGCTCCTGATGCTGGCTCGGTTGCTGATGTTGTGGCTTGAGTCTTCTTGATCTGGGTGGTAGGGCTTGAGGCGGCTGACGTGAAAGACTGGGTGTATCTTCATCCATGCTGGAGGTTCGACCTTGTACGCATTCTTCCCTATCCGTTTTATGATGCGGATGGGGCCTTCGTATTTTCTGATCAATCTTCGATCTCTTCCTCTCAAGAACTTCAGTTGTTCGGGTAACACTTTCACCATCACCATATCCCCAACATCAAACTCCAACGGTCTTCTGTTTTGATCAACCCACTTCTTCATTCTCCTAGCTGCTCGCTCCAAGTAGGCCCGAGCAATCTCTGTGTTTTGCTCCCACTCCCTTTTGAATTCTCGAGCTTAAGTACTTCGTCCGGCCTCGGTGTCTGCTACTGTGTGAGGCAAGAGAGGTTGTTGGCCCATGGTCAGCTCGAAAGGGCTCTTGTTTGATGGGGAGCTCTTTTGGGCGTTGAAACAAAGTTGAGCTACATCGAGGAGTCTCACCCAATCCTTCTGATTGGCACTGACGAAGTGGCGCAAATATTCTTCAAATAACCCATTGAATCTCTCCGTCTGTCCATCTGATTGTGGATGATGACTTGATGACATATTGAGTTCTAACCCCATCATCCGAAACAACTCTGACCAGAATATGCTTGTGAATCTCGTGTCTCTGTCGCTCACTATACTCTTGGGGAGTCCCTAATACTTCACAACGTGCTTGAAAAATAATGAGGCAGTTTCTTCAGCACCACATGCCTTTTGCATTGGAACGAAGGTAGCATATTTTGAGAATCTATCTACAACCACCATTACTGCGGAGAGCTGGTCCACCTTTGGGAGGCCACTGATGAAGTCCATGGATACACTCTCCCAAGGGCGAGTAGGGATTGGTAACGGTTCAAGGAGCCCATCGGATTTCTGTCGGTCGACCTTGTCTTGTTGACACACCAGACAAGTTCTTGTGTAGTTCATCACGTCCTCTTTCATCCCCAGCCAATAGTATCCTGTGCTCAGTAAGCTGAGTGTCCTTTGCCAACCCGGATGACCTGCCCATAGCGTGTCATGGCATTCCCTCAAGAGCATCTTTCTCAAACCACCTGCTCTAGGGATGAAGAGTTTCTTTCCTTTTGTGTAGATGAGTCCGTCTTCCATCCAGAAACGTCTAGTTTTCCCTTCTTCAATCAGTTTCTTGATGGTTCTTGTCATCGGATCATCTCCTAAGTAAGCTTTGACTTGATCACGCACAGAGGTAGCGACGTTGCTTGAAGTTAAAGGGGCTAATCTTTGTAGGTGTGCCAGGTCTGCTCGCCTGCTCAGCGCATCTGCTACCCTGTTGCTAGCCCCTGTCCTGTATGCAAACTCTACATCGAACTCAGCTAAGGATTCTTGCCATCGAGCCTGTCTTCCCGTCAACTTAGGCTGAGAGAGAAAGTGGGTTGCAGCAGTATTGTCGGTGCGGACGATGAACTTTGAGCCCAACAAGTAATGTCTCCAGCCCCTAAGGCAGTGCACAATAGCTAGGAGTTCCTTCTCTTGTGCTGCGTACTTCCTTTCCGCACTGTTCAACTTCCGACTCTCGAATGCAATGGGATGGCCATCTTGGAGTAATACTCCTCCCAAGGCAAAATCGGAAGCGTCTGTCTCTACTTCAAAGGGTTTGTTGGGGTTAGGGAGAGCGAGGACTGGCTCTCTCACTACTGAATCTTTCAATTTCTGAAAAGCTTTTTGTTGTTTCTCTGACCATTCCCAACGACGATCCTTCTGCAAGAGGTCGGTGAGGGGACTGGCTAACTCGGAGTATCCCTTGATAAATCTGCGGTAATAATTTGCCAAGCCTAGAAAGGACCGAAGCTCGGAAGTGTTCCTTGGATCTTTCCAATCCTGAATTGCTTGTATCTTCTTTGGATCCATCCTTATGCGGCCTTTACCTACAAAGTGTCCCAAGAACCCAACTTCTTCTTGGGCGAAAGCACATTTTTCTCGCTTGACGAACAGATGATGTTTTCGCAGCTTCTCAAACACCTTTCTCAAGTGGTCGAGGTGTTCTTCAAAGGTCTTGCTATAAATTACAATGTCATCCAGGTACACCACTACAAATTTGTCGAGAAATTCATGGAACACCTGATTCATTAAGGTGCAGAAGGTTGCGGGGGCATTGGTCAACCCAAACGGCATAACTAGCCACTCAAATGCTCCATATCTCGTCACACATGCGGTCTTCGGTTCATCTCCTTGAGCAATGCGAACCTGGTGGTAGCCAGATTTCAGATCCAACTTCGTGAAGAACACTGCATCCCCTAGTTGATCGAACAAGTCCGCCACCAACGGAATGGGGTAATGATTCCGCACTGTGACCTTGTTGAGGGCTCGGTAGTCTATGCACAATCGGAGGCTCCCATCTTGTTTCTTCTAGAAGAGCACGGGAGCTCCATAAGGAGCTTTCGAGGGGCGGATGAATCCTGACTCTAGTAAGTCTTCCAGTTGCTTTCTAAGTTCCGCTAGCTCGGGAGGGGCCATACGGTAAGGGCTTCGAGCAGGGGTCCTCGAACCAGGAACAAGTTCTATCTCGTGATCCACAACCCTCCTAGGAGGAAGCACCTTTAGGAGCTCCTTGGGGAGGAGGTCCTCAAATTCTGTGAGAAGCTTATCTAAAGCTGCGGGGATTTCCTGAGGGGCTTCATCTTCTTTCACTGATAGAGTAGCAAGGAATGTGGGTTCGTTCCTTTTCAACCCCTTTTTTAGTTGCATTGTCGAAAGGAGGGGGCCTTTAGACCCTTTTCTCATCTTGCAAGTCTTGAGGAGGCAAGGCTGTTGTCCAGCTACTAATACTGACCCCAGGTGGGGCATCGGGACAGCTTTACTTGCACGTAGGAAGTGCATACCGAGTACAAGGTTAAAGTCATCCATGGTGGCTACAGTGAAATCCAGGTTTCCGCTCCAGTCCCCCAGCTTTGTTGGGATGTTCCTTGCAACCCCATGAACTGGCTTGGCGGCTGAGTTAACAACTTTCATACTACCCCCTTCTTGAATCGGCTTCAGCCCCAATCTTCGAGCTTCTCCTTGGGATATGAAGTTATGGGTGGCCCCAGTGTCAATCATCGCATTGCCCCTCCTCCCATTCACCAACACTTCTACATACATCAACTCAGTGTTTTTGGACCTCTCCTCGGGCTCTTCCTTTCCCATGGCGTACAACATGTGCACCGCGCCCAGTCTTGAGGGCTCTTCCTCATCGGGCTCTACCTCGCATGCTTCTTCGGTCTGTTTTGACTCCACCGTCATCGCCGATAACCTCTTTTGGAGACTATCGATTTCTCCCTTATGACGGCATTCGAACCACTTGTGAGGGCCCCGACAGAGGATGCATGTTAGGGGTCTGTTCCCCGTTGAGAAGGTTGATGTGCTTCCCTTACTTGATGAAGAGGAAGCTCCACTCCTTCTAGAGTCGTCCCCCACAGTCTTGTTGTACCTACTCCCAACATTGTTTGAGCTAACTTGGGAGGCGGGGTGTTGGCTTCTAGGAGTGGTTGTTGCTTGTCCATTGTTCCCCTTCTTCTGATTAGGGCCCTTATCGGGTGAGTAATCCATTAACTTCTCAGCTGCTGCTATAGCACCAGCTAGAGTGTCTATCTTTTGGCGCCAAATCTCACGTTGCGCCCAATCCTTCAAACCTGGCACAAAGTTGAACAACCGATCCTTCTCTGACATATCTTGGATCTCTAACATGCACGCACAATATTCCTTCACATATTCTCGAATGGAAGTCTTGTGGTGTAGGGTGGTTAACTTTGTGCGAGCCACAAACTCGGTGTTATCCGGGCATAACTGGTTCTTGATCTCCTTCTTGAGATCCTCCCAACTATCAAGCGTGATTCCTTTTGCTTGAATGTCGGCATATTTGGTGCGCCACCACAACTTCGCGTCCTCCACTAAATACATGGTGGCAGTATCCACCTTGAAGGGATACTCTATTTGACAAATCCGGAAGTATTGTTCCATGTCAAAGATGAAGTTGTCGACTTGCTTCGAATCTCTTGCCCCATCAAAGGTTTGGGGCTTGGGCGGCTTTATCTTTGCACCCCCACTGCCCCCTTGAGGAGCATGCATAGTGGCACACTTGTCGAGTGCCTCATCAGCTAGTGCCTGGACACAATTCAGTTGCTCCAACAGTCCATCTACTGTCCATCTACTGTGGAACGTAGATTGCTGATTTCATTATCCTGCTTGATCACAATATCTTCGAGCTTGGGCACCCTTTCCTCTAGGAAGGCCCATTGTTCAGACTTGCCCTCAAGCCAGGCCAGCCGTTGTTCGAAGGTGTATTCGAGATTATCTTCCCTCACTGGCGTGCTACTTGAACACGAGTTTAGGCAACGATGCAGCGTTGGCTCTGATACCAACTGTCACGGTCCGAGTGGTTTGACACCAGATCGTGCGGCGCGCTCTTATCTTTTAGAAACAAGAACGCAAGCCTAGAGTGAGAGAGGTTCGTGGGCACACAGCAACACGGACCAAATGTATCTCAATGAGGCAATCGTTAGTAACGAGTGCAAGGTCGGGGCTTATGACGGCCGATACTTCGAAGCGGGCAGAAGCGGAACCGACAAGGATGTAGGCGTCTTTGAGAGTCTCTTGGTTTGGTGGGGAGCTTTAAAACAAGGCAAGCACACTATCTATAAAGGCTTAAATCAACACACAAGTCTTAAAGCAAGGCAACCCGAATAGGAGCTTTTTCATTCATTCAACCATCGCTCCATATAGAGTTTTATATTGTTTACATGGAGAAATACTAGTGAACACTGAAATGATAGTAACACAATAATCTCCTCTAGCGCCTAAACTACTTACACGAATACATTGAAAGTCTAACATAAACTAAGTAAAGACATAAGAAAGCAAAATACATGATGAAAGAGGTTGGATCCTAACACTAAGACTGGAGACATGCTTTTCAGTAATTGATTGATTTTATTTGTCATGCAAGTATTTGAGCTGCTGTGAATACATGATACCATAAACGCTATATTAAGGGAGACAAACGACATGGCTCACTTACCTTCTCATACTAGAAGTAATATGTCCTCTGCAAGTGCATCTTTGTTGATCCTAAACACTATTCTTTCTAATTATAGATTTGTTAAATTATTTGTTTCCTTGATTCTAAAATATTAATCATTTACTATAAACATATACCAGATTGGTTATCTGCGTAGCTTGGGCTGCACAATCGTCCCTGAATCAAAGCTGCATGCTTCTCGGTTAATAGAACAATACAAAACTCTTTAGGGACTATGAAAATTCACTCACTTATTTATTTACAGGTAAAAGTCCTAATCTTTGCAGCATTTACGTTTATTTATTTATTTATTTTTAATTTTTAATTAAATTGTTTTCTTTTAGTGCTAGGAAGTTTAGCAAGAATTTTTTGTAATCTTTGATAACCTATTTTTGTTTTGTATGGATAGCCAATTCATTCATGCCTGTTTCTCGGATGTATCTTTTTGACTGGGAACTTTTCTGAAAATAAATTTTGATGTTTGCTGAAACTCTAATATGTATAGGGTCAAAATATACTTAGATTAGTATTCAAACTCTATGTACTTTAGCAAAATCCATAATTATGTGGTATTAAGTATGATTTATCTATCTCTTGGCATCTGATTAACTATCACGTGGAGCTCATAAAAGGAGTTTCTTGCTTCTGAGATGTTGAACTTCCTGTAATTTGAAGTCATAGTATCCTGCATCAAGGTTACCTATGACTATGAGGCTATAATTCTGTTCAGAGCTTTCTCAGTCTCCTTTGTAGAACTTCTTAGTCTCTAGTATTGTGAGACATTTAATGACTAGTAAAACCTAGTTGGTATTAAATTATGCTTATTTGGTACTAATGTAAGCGTCAAAAATATGTGTATTGGCTCCAAATAAAGTTCAATTGTATTGGGACTGTAATTTTTTATAGTACCCATGTCAGTGAATCTGTGATCTTATGAAGATTGAATAAATTTGGGGTTGACATCTTTGTTAGGGTTATAGATGCTCATTTATGTTAGTAACAAAGTACAAGTGTTTCTGCTTGGAATGATTATTACCAATGAGGAAGTATAAGCAGCTACAAAGTGGGCAAAAAATACTACCAAGTAAAGGTGATCATCAATAGCCTGGCCCGCTAGCTCAATATGACCCGGCTTGAAAAAAGTGTTGGTTTGGACAAGGCTACAAAGAGTACACGTGTATTTTTAATTCGAAACCCGAGCCTAGCCCGAAAAAGGTCAAAAAGGTCGTTTTGACCCGATAAACCCGATGCTATTTTGTTAGTTTGGACACATTTTATGTATAGGCTTGGCCTTACCCGATTTTTTATCACTCTAGTACTAAGACTAAAATTTATACTAAATATGGAGTAAAAGAGATACAAGGTTTGGGCTAATAGGGCAGTTACACTGTAGAAAGTTATTTTTGTTATTTGAAGAAAAAAAAAAAAACTTTTTTCAATTTTTTTGTCTACTGTATCTCTAATAGAAATAAAAGAAATTCGTCTCTAAAGCTTTCCTCCTTGTCTTATTCAAAACTCAAGTTTCTATAATATGTTGCTTCGTAGATGACTTTTACGAACGAAGGAAAAGACCACTCATGAAAGGCATTTCGAAAAATACAAGGCAATGGATACCAATGATGCAAAGGTCTTGTCAATGCCTACAAGGATGGTGAGTTCAACTTAGAGGCAATCATTAATAATCTAACATGCTAACCCAAACTTTTCCATCCCAACAAAAGTGCGGGTTTAAGCAAGCCTAAAAAGCCGACCTGTCCTGAATAGCCCGCTTTGGCCTAACAAGCCTACTCTTTTTTGCGAGTTTGGGTATAATGATTCATGCTAAGGCCTAGCATGACCTGAATTTCGATCACCTTTAGTTCAACTAAGATGAGATGTGACAAGAAGATCCACATGAAGGTCAAATCCTCATGTGACTTAGAGATGGTCAACCAAAAAGTGACCTTGAAAACCGTGCCACTAATTATTGAGGAGGAGTCTATGATTTCAAATCTAACTGATAACATTGAAGAAGACTTGAACGCTGAGAATAGGAGTGAGGTTTCTGTGATTGAAAAATCAAACAGCGATTTAGTTGAATTGGAATTCGTAAATTCTATGTTCTATCGAGGATGATTCCATGAATCTTGAATTTAATCAAATGCACCCTATTCTTATGTCCACTACCTTTAATTTTTCATCCAAGTTACTCCCTCCGTTCCTTATTTATATGCCTACTTTTCTCTTTAGGGGTTTCAAAATTACATGTCTATTTCTATTTAAAGAATGTACTTTTTGACTATTATATTCTCTCTTTTTGATGAATTGTCATCAATTTTCTTTTATATTTTTTGTACTTTTGACATCATTTTCCAACACTTTCTCTCTATCTTTTCAATAGTTATCAACTACATTTTCTTTCTCTCTACCTCTCTTTAACCCCACATGCATATTTATACTTCCCAATCATGGGTTTTAAGGAATCTCTAAGTTTTTTAATTCCCGTGAAAAATAGGAAATAAACATGTAAATAAGGGACGGAGAGAGTAAAAAGTTATGGTCGGTTGCACATGTCAAAGAAGTGCAAAGGAGCAAGCCTCCATCATCTAAAATCATGTATCCACGAAGGAAATGATCAAACCCCCTTTGTGTACTAGTTAGCCGGTCATGAATGTTGTACCACCACTCCCTAATTAAGTACTTGTATAGGTCAAGAGAGTAAAGCTTAACCCCTCATAAAATAAAATAAAAAATAAATAAATTCTTTACATATGTACAATATCTTATCATAATTTAATAATTTTTAACAAAATATGTAATTTTCTTAAAGAAATAGGAATTTTAAGCCACATTTCATTGCGCGCACTAACATTGTAAACTCCTTGTATTAAAGGTGTGTATGAAAAACCTAATCCTTTAAAATTCATTCATGACTCTACTCAATTATGAATTGTTTGTAACTAGAGAGAAAGGTTGTATTACTATTATTTAGATACAAATGGAGTACTTAAATTAAGCGCAAAACTTCAATTGACAAAGTCCCTAAAGCAATGGAAAATAAGGAGGTGAGGTAAGAGAAGCGGATGAGGCAACCGCCGAAGGATAAAAACTAGAACAAGAAGAAGGAATATCAAACATGCTTCCATTCGACGGGTTCCGTACTTGTAGAGGCACAACATCTTCAAGCAAACCTTGAGATCGCCCAATCGTTTGTTGAGAATGACCTTTAGAACTTTGATGTGGATTCTTTGTTTCTCCATTTGCTTCAGGCACAACTTCATTCTTTATGTCTTGTTGATGAACATCTAACATTGTTTTCTTAGCCTTCTTTAAAGGAGGATATGCTTGTTCAATTTGAGTATTGCTAAAGTATGGGTATGCAAAATGAAGGTGAAGACCTTCGTATGTAATAATAAGTGTGTCTGGCTCATCTGTAGACTTCTCTACTTGCTTCTTTGCCCCACATCTTGGATTTGTGCACTTGTAGTAGCTTCTGCATTTTAAACAAAAGCATACATTAAACAGTAACACTTCTTTTGGTACTTTGAGGACAGAGGACACAACTATGTTAATAATTTTGTACCTTTATCACACGATATTTCAGAAAAATTATGATGAAATTTTGTGACAACTTGATTCAATTTGTAATAAAACTACAAAGGTTGATTTAATCTACTTTTGATTGTAGTTGGAACATCATTGTGAAATAGGGTAAACCAACTTCTTTGGGAGTCATCAGTGCTCATATACGAGTATTACAAATTTACATATTTGTCTTTACTTATTAATCACACCTTTTCAATCTGTAAATGATCTTGAATGGAATGTCAAAGAAGCGTTAAAAGAAGTATTCATCAATAATAATAATATTATTATTATTATTATTATTATTTTATATATATATATATATATATTTTTTTTTTTTTTTTTGCTGATGTTATAAATTTAAATATATATAGTTGATTATTGAGAAAGAAAAATAAAGTGCATGTAATAATTCGAGGTATCGCCCGAACCTAAAACTAGAAAGTAATTTAAAACATAAGAAACTATCACATAGAGTTAGAGATTACCTAAATCAATAAATTAAGCCTTGGAGCTGAGGAAGAGGAAGGCAATCTCTATTGTTACAAATTATTGCGTTATTGGTATTATTGGAATTAAAAATTGCTTATTTGGAACTCAGCTAATTAAACCATTACACTTCTTTAATTAGTGGTACTAGTTAGAGTTTAGAGGTTGTTGTTATTCACTAATACCAACTATAATACATACACTATCTAGTATTAAGAATCGTCGTCACTTTTGTCCTATTTAGACCCAATCCATTATTACATAATAGTATGGTTGGTAGTAAAACCTAATCCATCCATTTGAACAGGTTAAACCAATCCTCTGGCATATCTCTTTATGATCAACCACAATAAAAGCACAAAAAGGTGAGGAACTTCAAATATGAACAGCTTATTATTCAGTCGACCTCAAGTAGTGTTTTACTAAGGCATAAAGGACAACAACAATAATAAAAGAGCCTTCTTTATGACAATTAATATAGCTTCTTAGCATGGACTTCCTCCTTCCCCACCTCCCCTTCATTATATGTTTGATGGTTTCTTGTGAACTTATATAACTTGATGTACATAACACTTCGTGTCTTAAGTCTATCCATGCAACACTATTATTAATAACTGTATGTTCATCTTTTATTTAACATGGATGAGGGTCCCATTTGCCTCTTGGAAAAGAGTGTTAAATTTGAGTGAAAATTGGAAACGAGTCTTAGATAATTCAAAAAAATCAAGTTATATCTCAAAATCAGTTCAAGTGAAGAATGGAAACGAGTCTCCCTTAAATGTAGTTTACACATTTTCGTCTCTATCCTCTAATGTGGAATAACCCACAATCTGTATTATAGTGTATTCTGCTTATTCGTTAAAGTTTTCCCTAGGGAAAACAATGTGGGAAAGGAGGAATATACCTCGCATTGTTTCTCATTTATGACGGGTTTCTCCGCATTTGTTCCTCATTTCTACTTTGTTTTTTTATATTATTGTTTGTTATATTGTTTACTTTTTTGTATAAAAAATTAACTCAATCTCACAACGGCACAATTGTAATTGCCAAACAAATATCAAATGCACAATATTTTTATTTATTTAACCCACCTTCCTAACATAATTCTGATAAAAATAAAGGCTTAGATAAGATGGAGGTAGTAGTTATACCACATATATGAAGTATTTATTACCATGAATTCAAATGTTTTAAGGGAAGGAAAACTTTCATGGACCAATAAAAGAGTGGACAAGTGATTTAGGGAGAATAGTCAAGGGACCAAGTGATGGGCCAACGACGAACGAATGAAGCTAAGGAGCACATGAAATTATGAGTAGGTGGTGCTAGCGAGCAACATAAAATTATCGGGGCGTTTGGCAGGTGGAAATGAAAATTAGATGATAGCAATGGGGATTGAGAATTAAAAGTAATTCCCATGTTTGGCTAGTCATGGAATAAGTTGGAAATATATAACAAATTTACTGATATAGTCTTACAAATACTTTTTTTTTTCTTTCTTATCATTAAAAATAAATTTGTCATTTCATACTTAAAATCAATTCCCAACCTTAATACCTGGCCCCTGGTATTATTTTTTTGGGACGTAAAATCCCATTACCACCCAAAGTCCCTCCTACCAAAATAGTGAGCTTTTGTAAATTGGGATAAAAATTATCATTCCCACCCAAACTCCTCCTACCAAACGCCCCCTTTGGGAGTAAGTTGGGAAAACAAATAACGGTGGCCGTTATGTTAGATGAGCAATAAAAGCACTCTTGTAAACATTGATTTTATTTACTAACTAGTGTGTGATACGCGCTTTGCTCCGAGTGATAATTTGAATAATAAAATTTATTTTTAGGCGCTTTAAAGACTTATTAATTTTCTAACATGGGTAAATAAGAATACAATGACAACAATAACTTAGTGGATTAATAGAGCATGATTTAATTCTAACTAAGATGGTAATACATGTGGTTTCCATTGAATGAGGTTTGGGGTCCAAATCTCTTTGTATGCATTTTTATTTAAGATCATTGAATGAGGATGTGGCATGATGCTAAAGGTTGTTAAATGATGAAGTGACGTCATACTGGTGTAAGAAAGGATACATGTGGCACATACACGATTTTATAAACGCCTTTTAATATATAGTGTAGATTTTAAAAGCGATTTTCCTATATAAAGCTGTTTTTACCATATCTAGCTTGGTGCAATAGAAGAATAATCATTTTATGTATTTTCAGGGATCTCATCTCTTGCTAAGGCACGATTTTATAAACGCCTTTTAATATATAGTGTAGATTTTAAAAGCGATTTTCCTATATAAAGCTGTTTTTACCATATCTAGCTTGGTGCAATAGAAGAATAATCATTTTATGTATTTTCAGGGATCTCATCTCTTGCTAAGGGTGAGAATGAAATCGTTCAATCTCACTCTTTTTACAGACTTGGAAGGAGGGCTTTCAAGACTTAACCACTAAGTAATTTATATTTTGAATCCGATACCGATCAAATTGTAAATAAATTAATGTGATCTCTATACGTAATTTATTAAATAAAAATACGGAATATGACTTATATAAACATGTATATAATAGTAAAAAAACAAAAGAAAATTCACGGAATTGTAGATTGATTGAGAGTAACATACCTTGGATTAGGGCTGTTCTTAAAAAATTTTTGCCCATACTTTCTCCATTTGTAACCATCATCAGCCATTCCAGAGCTAGTGCTTTTGATTTTTAAGGTGTATTTATTCTCAGTTTTGCTCAACTCTTTCTCTAACACAATACTGTACAAAAATTAGACATTATCATGTTAATTATTGCTAACACAAAACTTAAAAGACTTTATCCAGACATGCATAATAATTTGTAAAAATTAATACATCATAAATAATAAAGAAATTAATTAATTGCATTGGTTAATTAATATTTCACCCTTCAAATGTTAAAGGGAATATTAAATTCTAATATTGATTTATGCACTATGAATTTCATTTCGTGGATAATCAACTAGATTAATTGAATATAATTTTACGATAGATAATCAAGAACTGAAATTTAATTTTATCTTCATCATTACGGTGGATAATCAACCTTGCATATGGTTGTTATATACTTCATATTACTGAACAAAGTTGTTGCTAGTGTTGAAATCCTCTTGATCACGCAATGTTAATGTAGGGTAGTCACGATAATATTTGATGTTAGGTCCTCGTCACAGTTAAGAAGAAAAAGGGGAAAGATTTTTCTATAGTTTTTGTCTTGAATACATTGTTTTAATGGTTAACTTTTTCAGATTGTAATAAGCTTTTGGTCCTACCATGTTAATTTATATGAATGGTTAGAAAATAGAACTAATTTATTATATATATATATATATATATATATATATATATATATATATATTTTGGTTGTTGTTGTTGTTGTTTAGAGAGCCACAAGGGCGAGGGTGAGAATCGATCCCAGGATATTTTGGAATCGGGAGAGAACTCTAACCACTTGAGCTATCTCTCACTCTCTATTGTAGCATATATAATTCTTCACGAGTCAACTTTTTCACTTCATTTTTAGCTCTTCCTTAAAATAAACACCTAATTGGAAATTTAGAAGTTGGCATAGAATGCATATTGATACACTTCCTTGCATTGGTTAAGGTTTGTTTTTGGTTTTTATTTTTATTTATTTTATATATATATATATATATATATATATATATATATATATATATATATATATATATACAAGAATATTTTTACACATACACGTATTAGATATCTTTACGTATCTTACGTATCTTGTTGCTTACTTGGTACAATGTATAATTACAAATTTCAAAGTTTCGTTGGGAAATCACTCCAATTTATATTAATTTATAACTTACACAATAAACATTGATATTGATTATGACGACAACAAGACATGCATGTTTTTGCAACTTATCATACAAATATTATCTCCATCCTAATTTGAAATAATTGCTACATATAGATGAAGTGTGTAAATTAATTAATTAAAAAGTCGAAACATTGTAAATAAGTAAAACGTTATGAATATCAAAACGTTTTACTTATGTAAATACCAATGGGAGTATTTTTTTAAAATGGTACTCCGTAATATATTTTATAAACAGAGTAATTTATCAATAAAAATTAAGATCACTTTATATTATTGTAAAAATAAATTTATACTCCCTCCGTCACATAATACTTGACACAGTTACTATTTTTCGTCCGTCCTAAAATACTTGACACGTTACTAAATATGGAATGAAATTACTAATAAAAAAAAATATTTTCCTATACTCTCTTTGGGACCACAAACCCCAAAACCCAATCAAATCTTACATTTTCTCTCTCCTCACAACCCCCACCTCCCTCACTTTTTGTTTTCTTACAATATAAAAATAGAAAAGAGAATCTTTTATGTAATAAACAAACGTTTTAAATGGATCCACTTGTAGTTTTTTTAAACTACGTGTCCACCATAACGTCCCAAGTATTATGGGACGGAGGGAGTACTACAATATTAATAAAACACCTGTCTTATTTTTTGCTTTTAAATACAAATTTTTATATGCGTTTGGCCACACAGTATGGTCGAGATTACTTATTCAGGATTACTCAGTCGGTGAGGAATTACTTGATCAAGGGTTAATATTTTATTCAAATCACGTCACATAGGTACTGAATAAAGGTTACTAATTAAAGAACTTTAAACAACAACAATAAGAGTGGTATATACTTGGTCAGGGGTGGACTTGTGGCTTGGTAAACCTAACAAATTCGAGAACATGTGTTGACTTTTTACTCTATTTAATACTCTGTACAAGAAGTGCCTATTAATTTTACAATTATAATCAATAACAGCAGTAAATATTGAATTTAGTAATGAATTAAATGTAGCTATCTTGTAGAAATTTAGTGCTACTTCCATCTGTAATTTTGTACTCCGTATGATTTTATTTTTATTTATTTATTTTTTTATTTTTTTTTATTTTTTGGACTTAAATGAGTTCAAAGACACTATAATTAAATTACAAATGAAGAATGGAGGTATGTGGATTCAAACTTGTTAGCTTTCTTATACATGCATGGCTCAATCTTTACTACCAAGCCAATGATACCTCTTTTGTATGTTTTCAAGAATATTTTGCAACGGAAAGAACTTTAACTTTGTTTCTCTGACTTGTTTACGCTTTACACATGCTTGCTAATGTAAAATTTCGACTATTAATATCTTTACTATAATTGTACTACCTCAATTCTCTTTTTTTTTTTGAACATAATTTCCATTTTAATGTATTTTATTTCTATTTTTTGCTTTTGTTTTAATTTTTTTTTAGCAAAGTATGTCACTTTTATTTCTCATAATCCATTACATGATCCACATTATAATATATTATACTTTGTACAATAATAAATAATACAGAGTATCAATGTTTCTAATTTTATTTTTCTTATAAAAAGTCATAACTTTAAGAATTCAAACTAAGGAGGTCGTAAAATAGAAAACAATAATCTGTATAATAGATATGGAAAAGTGATGTCTATTTTTACTTACTTACCATTTTCAATGTTGATATATACTTCACAGTTAAGTGGTAATCAAATGTATAATTGCAGATTCAACCTATAATTATGGCTATTGACGGAAATTGGTCAAAGAATGAATGTCGATTGTGAATTTCAGCGTTTTCAGACAAGTCGACAACAATTTTGTTTTTAGGCCTACGTACATGTGTTGACTTGTTGAGCTTTTATTCTCTCTGTCCTATTCCTGATTGTTGGTTAATCCGTACAGTTTCAATATTTGTTTAGGAAAAGTTTTGTTCCTACTTTAATTACCTCAAATGTATGCAATTTTTCCTTATTAAACAAACCCTACTTGCTCAATCTTATTGTTTTCTTACATATTTCCACATATAACAATTTCTGTTTTACCAATGTTTACATAATTGGCACACTATATTTACTTTCTTTTTTGGTTAATGATTCTAGAAATTAAAAAACAGTCATGAATAAATGACGAAATTAGAATAGCTTTGTTTAATTTTTCATGTACCTTTTCACCTTTAGCTATATATAAGTGCTTTTGTTCTACCATTTATAGAGTACATTTCTTCGATATTCAAAAACATCATTTATCTTATTAACCCTTTTTCGATCCTCACCATCCAAGTTCCATTTACTTTCTCTTCAAATATTTAACTTTAGAAGAGAAATTGTTATTTGATTGCTTAACCTATCAGGAGGGTAGTGAATGATTGGTAATGGTTACTCGTAAAAATAAAATAAAGTATATTCCTCTAAAAAGAGAAAGTAATGCACTTAAAAAAATTCATTCGATTATGAAAACTGGTATACTTTGTTAATAAAAAGTATGAGAAGTACATTTAATAAAACAAATGGGTATGTGTCATAGATGTTCTTATTTTATACTTCCACTTTCATATATTTGTAGTTTGTGTATCTACACTTTGTGAGGAGAGAGAAAAATTTAAGCAAAACAAAACAGAATAAAAGTGTATTTGCAACAAATTTGGAGAAAGAAAGTAAATAAATGTAAATCGATACCAAATCAATACCAAAAGTTGTGGACCTATTTTAAAATTGTATGTTCCATTGTGTTGATCAATAAACTGTGGTCCAATCGATATAAAAAATTCTGCATATATAATAAAATTGGCAAAATTTTGTTATAAATTAGATCACTATAGCAAATTCTACAAAACGTTTTCTTTTAAAAATGTAGGGTGACCCACAACCAGAGGGTTAATGGCACTATTTGATAGTAGTTGGGAGCTAACTAATAGAAGGCCGTTGGGATATATTAACCGAATGTTAAAAATAAATAAATTCATAAAGACATACGAAGTATATACAACCTTTCCCCCTTTTTAAATTTCTTCTAACTATTTATTTGGATTTAGAAATAATACAAGTGATTGAAATAAAACACTAGTTATATCGATCAATGTAACTTTTTCTTGCATTATTCCTAAAAAATAATTTAATTTAGAAAATATATTAATTATATACTTATAGTCTTAACAATTAAATGTTTGTTACCCTATTTTCTTTTCTTTTTTTTAACAGAGTATTGTTAAAAAAAATCTCCACACTGTACCATAAAATGAGGCTATTTTTTTTAATACAAAATAACATTATGGTTATACAATAAAACCACAACCATATACTTCCCCATTTCTTATTAGTTGATACTCCGTATATTTGATTTTAACATTATTTACATAAACTTAAATTGACTTTATATCGTGGTTATTAAATGAGAAAAAACATGGTCATATAGGCCATATTAATTAGTTTCAATATATTTTTTTAAATATCAATTTTTTATAATATTTGTTTTCTAATAAGGAGATATTGATGTTTAAAACATGCATTAGAAAATCTGGCTACAAAAATGTGTCTAACTAAAATGAAATGTATCAGAGTAATTATATTAACTATAATTGCAGTGGTAAAATTCTTTAGCACAAGTACATTGGTACCAAGCTCTATAAAGGGTTCTCTATACCTTTCTCTCTAGAAAAAACCAAATAATGCTAAGAGTTTCTCTTTACAGATACACACAATTGTGGGCCAGGTAATTTGAAAAGTCGTTGACACATATTATATTAGTAATGAAGAAAAAATGTTAAAGAAAATTGTGACATGGTTGTTGGTGTAGTGGTGATTGAGACTATACTTGATAGGGATTGTCGCGTGTTTGGTCCCCCCGTAACAATAGTTGGGAGGGGAATGGAACCTAACCACCCAAAATTGATTTCCAAATCCGAATTAGCTTAAAGGGTGAACCGGGTGGTAAAAAAAACATAAATAAAAAATAAAAAATAAAATAAAAAAATTATGACACTTGATCGTAACAAAGATCTTTCTAAAATGTCTTTACATGTTGAGTCATCCTAGATTAACCTAGGAAATCTGATCTAGTTGTCGCTAGAGTAGCACTAAACTAGCTCTTCAATAATGCCTCTCACCTTGGAGAACTCCTCCAATAAACCTATGCCCTTATGCTACTACATTAACAGATGACCATGACCACCACCTCAAGCGCGACCACGACACTTGCACTAGCCTTCAGTATTATACTTGGGATTCTAGTCCATAATTAGATTAATTACTATATAGCATGGCCAATCTTTGTTGGTGACATGGTAATCATATCATCGTGGTCGAGCTCTTAGTTAGCGCGCACAAGGTGAGCGTGGCTAGGGGAAATGGCTGCCTAGTGGTACCCCTCTCCCATGATTAGTCTCCTATATTAGACATAATAATAGTCACATATTACATATTATTATGTCTAACATCCTATTCAAACAGCATTAATTGAAAATAGACATAGTCGCTATTTCATATTAACATATTATGCTTGGTTTGGCTTCAAGTAATAATACAATCAACACACAAAAATTGGTGTAGTATTCACAAGGTGTAGTGCGACAAGGAGTACAGGGCCCATTTACTTGCTACTACAGCAAACAATAGTTTATCGTCATTTAATATTTCTCGTAGTTTCTTGCTTAAGCTCATATAAATAAATAAATAAACACACAAAAATGGTACGATCACATTTGAGTAAATAGCAAAACAGAAAATCGAACCTGGAATGTGAGAGATGGTTACGAAGGGAAGTAGCCGTGGTAATCGAAAGAGCTTTTTCAATATCAACAAGTGTAGGCCCGGAATAAACTTTAGAGACTTGATGTTGGTACACCGGAACTTGTTCATTATTATTATTACTTTGATCAGATGACGACGTTGACGACGATGAGTTGACGAATAGTGGTTCATCAGTTGACGGACTTACGGCGGTATCATCCAACGCTGGCGGCGGAGCAGGCAGCCAGTTGCTGGTTGTGGTTGGTTGGTCGGCGTGCTTTAAAACATCTTTGAGTAAATCAATATCTTCCCACGGGTGATTAGGCCATGTTAAGCAAACCTTATTATCCATTCTAAATTTGTATTATCAAATACAAGTATATGATATAAATATGCTGAAAGAATAAATAATGAATTTTAGTAGTTGATGAATGAATTGTGCTAATAACTTTTCACGTGGACATGAAATATAAAGTATATATTATGTGTAGCTGTATAGTTGAAGAGTAATAAGGGAAAGAGAGAGGAGTTAGTAGAGAGAATTAATAAGGGTAATGAAAGAGAAAGATATATAAGATCCGAAATGTGAAGTTCGTGGAGCAGATATATATGTGTTATTCAACTAGAATATATTGTGTTGATGGCTTTAAAACAAGGTTTTATTTCCATAACTATTCATCAATGATGAATCTATCCGGCCATTTGGTAGTAGTTAGCATTATTATTAATTAGTGCCGTAGTCAGTTTAAATGGTGTAGTCAACTTTTTTATTACGGAATAGAAGATAAAAAAATAAAAATAAAGATGAAAGCAGTCAACTTTGTTGGTTGTTAGTTTGTTGCATAGTAAGTTCAAATTTTGGGGAGGCTTTCCATTTTTTTTTATCAAAAATGTTTGATTTTTAATCCAGATAAAATTATGGTGATTAAATAACAAATATTTTTTAATTATTACTGTATTTATTATACTACTCCTACTTCCGATATGAAATTTGGACTCACTTTATATTTGTGAAATCTCCAATGTGTGCATCTTTGACCATTAATATTTTCAGCTATATAAGTGAAAATTATAAAAAGTTGATATTTGAAAAACTTACACTTAGAGGGAATCTAATAAGACAAAATGCTAATTTATTTCTATTATATAAACCATAAAATATTGTCAAAGTTATTTATTTTAATCATATAAATAATAAACTAAGTAAATCGAACTTTATAAACTGAGATATTAAATTATTTATTGATTTAAGTACTATGCCCCATGTATGAATATATACCAGTAATACCACTATGTCACATTATATCAAACAAAAAATGTAAAAATACTCCACCAACTTCATTTAATATTTTAAAAACTCAATACATATCCCTTATCATATCTTTCTAAAATCATTTTTTGTAAATAAAAAGATACACACATGTATTAAACTGTTCTCTCAAAACTATTAGTTAACTTATCAAGAAAAAAAAAATAATAAACTTTTTATGTACGTACAAATGGGTCAATATAGATTATGTCTTATGAGCTCAAATGTAGTGCCCTAACGAGACAATTTGTGTTAAATCATATACAACACCCTGAGTTGTGATTAATATGAGTTGGAGAGAGGGAAAAACTTGGGAGTTAATTAACGTAACCATTCTCTTAAGGACTTGAACTTTAATCAAAGTTCCATTTTTATTGTTTGAATAGTACGTAGTTGCCATTTACTTTATTGGACTTCAAAAGTTTAAGACCACTAATTTTAACCCTGTTACAATTTTCATTAAACATTATTATTGAAATGTTTTTGAACTAAATATTATTTAATATTGTAAGTGTAACTAATCCGGATCATAATCTTATCCGAACTTATTAAACTTGTACTGTAATATTTAACAACAATGTTTATATAAGCCAAATAAAACATAACCTGGCTCACAAGTTAAAACCCTTTTAATATTAAATTACCACATTAAAGTAAATTTAGTATAGGAATATGTCATTGGTAGTATATGCATTTGACTTTACATATGAGTACAAAAGCTGGAGTAATGTGTTAGATACCCGTACGCAATCAATCTATCTACCATAATAATGTTAATGTATATTGAGTATTTGAGTATTGACAAATGAGACAGTTGAATATATATGCGAGTTAGTGAGTAAGTGTGGATTTTTTTTTTTTTTTTTTTTTTTTTTTTTTTTTTTTTGACGAGAAGTGTGGATTTTGGGGTTAGTATTGTTGCAAAACAAATAAGAGTGGACGTCGTTGAACCTGCGCCTGACCATAATTTAATGGACTTTTGTGAAATGTCAACCCTTTAATTCATATTCCATATTTGGACCTTATCCAACATTGTCACGTGAGGATCATTTTCTAGAGTCACTTGGTTTCTCAAAATCTCAACACTCTCCCAATATTTTTAGACAGGCTTACGCGTAATCACAAGATTTTTAGACAGGTAGTGTTGTCTTCTAGTGCAATTTTTCATTTGGTGCAAGAATGGATATGTAAGAGTGTTTCGGCGCAAGGGTTCAGGTCCCTCATTTGCTCGTTAGGGAGACCTTCTCCCCCTACTTTGATAGCTTCTGATTCTTGCTATCTGTAGGGTGATTCCTCCTCTACATTTGATGTTTGTATTCTGTTTGATGGGGCATGGAGTGCTTTCGATCTCAGCGCGGGAGCAGGTTGGATTTTTAGGGATGTTTTTTCAGAATCTGTTTTGGGTGGATGCTCGAGAGCTTGTCACTCCTCTTCGGCCCTTCAGTGTGAGTTACAGGCTTGTTTGTGGGCTCTTCGGACTGCCGATCGTCGAGGCTTTCGTCGTCTCCTTATCTACTCCGAATGTTCCAATCTTTTTTCCCTTCTGAGGGATGGCCTTGATGACGATATTTTATCTCTGGTTGCTTCAGGATATTTGGCTGTCTCTCTTGTGGTTCTCTGTTTGCAAGCTTCGCAAGGTTCCTCGTTAGTGGATTGCCCCGGCTCACTGGTTGGCTGTTCAAGCTCGTCATCGACAATTGCTTTGTTGGTCCTTTTAATTTCATGTGTGTGTTTTTTTTTTGTTAGGGCTTCTTGTCACCTAAAAAAAAAAAAAAAAAAAACAATTGTTACTATTTATTAAGGAAAAAAAAAAGCAACTACTGTTACAATTTTATACCCCTATATATCTTCTTTATGTGTTACACTAGTCTAAATTATTCGGTTCTAATGATATTTATTTTAGCAAATTACTATAAAGTATTTTGTAAGGTTATATCTCTTTATTAATTTTCCTTTTTACACCTCTTAGTTTTCTATGAAATATTAATTTAATTATCATTTGTAACAATTTTTAAATATCTAAATGATGCATGAAATTGGATAATTTACGCAAGATTGTGGACGAAAGTTGTATGAACTAATTTGGATATTTTAAGTGACAGATTTTTGAGAAAATAAACGAAAAATTATACGATAGATAAACTCTAGGGTTTTGAGGATTTTTTGAAGTCACGGTTCTTGATGCACAAATGTCTCGATTTGTGTTTAGATTTATAACAAACCTAAATAGAAAAGCTCAAGATTTTTATAAAAACTCAAATCCAATTCTATTGAATAAGCGCGTGTGCCTTTTACAGGCATTACAAAGCATTGATGACTAATTCTTCTATGCCTTGAGTTATAAGAATTTAGGTTTCTTTATAAATCTGGAGTTATACTGTGGTAGGGTACATAAGGAATTCTTCTCATGTCTTTTCTACCTCAATGTCAATAGTGTTTACTATACCTTAATTGGTGTAATCTTCTTCTAAGGATCCTTATTCATATTTTTGAGCATTTACTACTCTTTTTCTTAAGGATGAATCTACCATTTCTACCACTTTGTCGCTAACTTTCCATCTTAATTGTATACGTCGACTTTAGACTTATTATGTTATAATTTTATAGTGTTCTCAATCTAGCTTTCATGGTACACCGGAGAGTTAGAGTCGTGATCCCTGGAGGTCAGTTGCTATGAGTCATGTTAGGAATCGGGGGAGAGACAAGGAGGAGAGAAAAGCCCACACATAAGCAGTGACGGAGCCAGAATTTTCAACTTGAGGGGATAAATTTGGGACGTTTAATAATCTGAAAAAAATCATTACAAAAATTGAATACATAAATTGTTTAATACTGAAAAAAAAGTAAAAACCTTATATGACAAATTATTGCTATGTACCAAGAGAAGAGTTGTACAAAAGTTGGTTACATTTTTAGCAAATTATCTAACAAAGAACTAAAGCCTATTTTGTAAAACCCAAATTTCGTGTTATGTAATCTACAAAATGACTAATATGAAACAATTTTTAAACCATGCGGTCAAGTAGTTGGCCGCTAAACAACTTATCATACAAAATTATGAAAAGTTTTGTATAACATTGGAAAAAGAAATTAAAAAAAGTCATAACTTTCTAACTAATCAAATTATTTTCTAAGAAAAAAGTTTAATCAAATTAAAGTATTACAATTCATTCCATATTAATAAAATTTGAAATATACTACTAGTCTACTACGTATAATATTTTTACAAAGAGTAATAATTTATGGATGCAAGCTAAAAAAGTACATTGATGCATGAAGGCAATTCATTAATTAATTTTATCAAGTAACCATTTATTTGATTCGAACCTGTGATCAAGGTGAAAGGAAGAAAGCACTATAAAAAACGCATTGCCTCAACCAGTGAGCCAAATGAATCTAATGGTTATTTCATTTATTTGTAACACTTATATTCTATTTTAAAGAAAAACCTGAATTTTTTTTTTTAAAAAAGGAGGGACACCTGTTCCCCCATGTTCCAACGTGGCTCCGCCACTTTACATAAGTCCAAGTGAGGTTCTATTCCAAAACCATATGGCAATGGTATCAGAGCCGATGGTTCGGCTGGGCCTCTCGCACCCGTTTCTTAAACGCCGTTGTGTAGGGTTTGTGAGGTCAAGACCTGTTTACTGGTGATCTCCTCAGAGGTTCTTGTCTACACCTCATTTTCCTCCATACAAGCTTCTCACTGGGAGTATTCTGAGGGTTTCGGTGCATGGTTTCCGCTCAAGATTGTTAGGTTGCAAGTGTGAGTTGTTGTTCCACATGGAAAAATTAAATAAAGAACCACTAGTTTATAAGCTAAGTGAGCTACTCTTTCTATTGCCATATAATTTTGAAATGGAACCTCACTTGGACTTATGTGTGGGCTTTTCTCTCCTCCTTGTCTCTCCCCCGATTCCTAACAAGTCCATGTGTAATGTGCGAGGTAAATTCAACTTTAGGGCAGTGATCTATTGTCACGCCACAACATTTTTCAAATAAGTCATTTAATTATTTTAATTGCTTTCCATCAATCTTAAGTCGAATTTGCCCCACACAGTACACAAGGGGACTCATAGCTACCGACCTCTAGGGATACACGACTCTAACTCTTTGATGCTCTAACTCTCCGGTATACTACGAAGAGCTAGATTGAGAACACTATGATATCTTTTTTGTGTGTCTTCATGAAATGGAGGAGAGTCAATATATAGTGCCATAGTGGAGCACTCAACCCCAAAGAAGCAACACTCTCATGTTTATTATGCAACCCCCAAAATCAAGGAGTATCAATAATCCATTACCTCCCTTAAAATGAGTGATCAAATCATCAAATATTATGAACCTAGACTACTCAATACTCACGGCAAACATGCATACCCCAAAGTCAAGGAGTATCAAATTACCTCCCTTTAATTATGCATGTCTATCAATTAGCTTCCAACTATGTAGAGTATCAATAAGCAAACGGTTAGTGAAGAAATGGTGATAACAAAAGTCAAGTAATTGATATGTGATACTAATTAAGGCAATCAACCAAATTTGAGTTTAGAATTTTTGAAGCAAATGTACCTAGACTTGGAGTTTTACTATGGGGAATATCTAAAAACTCCAACAAAGTCGACAACTTAAAAGCCAAAAACTTTGGAATATATAAATCTATATGTTTGATTGCATATGATACCACTAATTATTTGATCTAAAATTTCTCCAAAATACTTAACTGGGTGTGCACGGATTTCTACCGCATCACCGTGTTGATATTAGATTTAACCGAGAAAGAGAAGTATCTCAATACTCAAGCTATTGTATGCAATTGGATCAATCAACAATTGAGTTATCTCAAATTATTGCTACTTTTAATAAGTACTCCGTGATGACAATGTCCTCATCGCAGAGATACCCAACGCCAAGTTTAGGGAGATCGATTGATGTTAGAGATTAAATATATTTCAGTGTACACAAATTATAATAACTTTGGCAAATTTACGTAACATTGCAGACCTACTTTTAAATTTTCATTGTGTTAGTATTTGAATGTTTACTGGGGATTAATTCTCCCTTTTTTCAGCTGTCAAAAAAAAAAAACATAATTATATCCTTACATATTTACTTGTAAAAATTTGAAGTATGCATAAGTTTATCGATCTTGTATCTAATTGTATATCATTGATCCTTTTATCCACTAATACCCACCTCAATCCGCGGATTTACTCACTGCTATAAGTTCATACAAGTTTCTGTTACCAATCATCTACAGAGTAATAGCTAATCACCAGCAAGCACGACCAATATCCGAAAGTTAACGCATGTGAGGAAGGTGATAGGAAATTTTCATACGGACAAATACTTTATATGTAGTAGTAACTAGTAATCAATTTGAAATCCAGCACGGCAGCACGTAAGAGATGAGGTTTCGACCCAAAATAAAAGCAATTTGAAATGAGAAGTATATGAATGCATTATTGATATATACACAAGTTCAAGCACTTGTCACATACAACAGGAACGTGAACGTGAGGATGGAATACATCTCTTACAACATAAGCGTTGAAAAATACTGCTCGAATTCTTGATCAATTGTTGGCTTCTGTCTACCCCTATGCGCCTCTGCATCCAAACGAAATAATGTTGTTAGAAAGAAATTTCGATGTTCATCACACTAAAAGTAGTAACCAAACGTCTACCAGCTTTGAAATAAAATTCAGTTAGTTATAAGATTCCAGAACATCTATCATAAAGAGTAAAGGCTAAACAGCAAATATATTCTTTCTTCTGAACCCAGATAATATATTATGTTATTTTGGGTGGTGAGAAACCCAAATCAAAATTCTACTAAATTATGATCAAGGATTTAAGCACATATGTCAATTTACTAGGTGTTGAATAACGAACATGTGAAATCTTTCAAGTTTTTCTCTTAAAAAGCAGGACTACATTACCTCGATCAACAGTCCACCTATCCGACGATGGGATCCCGCTGGAGGAAAGTAACCCTTCAAGCTGTCCAGAAACATGTTGCATGCTGTCCATGTAGTAATGTGTGCCGATGCACTCCTCCAGACAGTCAACATCATGCCACGAAGTATTATTCAGATGAGGAAGATGGTATTCTTCCATACCTTCGCCTTTGGTATTGATAAGTGTACTCTCCAGTGAAATGGAATCATTTTCGGATGTGATTGGCCTTGAATTAACCCAGGAAGTAGAAGCCTCATCATACGAATCTGTCTTTTGAATACCTGCATCAATAATGACTTCTGTAGATGAATGTGAACCCCCAGCAAAACTATTGCTATCTTGAGTTGATTCAACTAGCATGTCAAGTACTTCTACATCTTCTTCATTCACAGTTTGTAATGATGATCCACATTCAGATCTGCTGTCAGCTACCTCACAACATACATGCTTCGGTGCAGGCAGCCCCAAGTCATCAGCAGCGACAGCTAACTGCTTTCTTTTCTTCAAATTGGAAGCAACAAGTTTCATTTTTTCAATTTAATAAAGCTCTGGATAAACAACCAAGAAAATTTAATAACCGAGCAGTATTTAGCTTTCCCGTCCTATTCTTCACACACACACACACACGCACACACAAAAGTGAGGAAAGAACCTGCTGCTAGCCTTAAAAACAGAACGGACTATGCTACTGTGAACGTCCATGACACCCTAACATGGGTATGAGGCTATGACTATGAGCCCTGGACAGTTCAACAGATATGTTAGGACAAAAAAAAAAGTTTTAAAAAGTTTTATGTCATCAAAATATAGCTGTGCTTGACACTTAGACACATAACAATGTCTGACATGAAGTTGCAAGTTCAGAATATAGTAATGGATGTATAGCATCCACCTACAAGGAGCATTATTTTTAGAAGTACACCAAGAAGCTTGATTCAAACTATTATTACATCAAACTTCACAAAAAAACTATTATGACATTAAACTTCACAAGATTAAATGCAAATTAACTTGCTAAAACTGGTTTTTACTCTTTTAGAATTTACAACTGGTTCAATAATTAGGACAAGTTCTAAGAAGAATTTGAAATTGGAGTATCTAAGATTTAAAATGAGGAATCTTTAATTGGTCATTTGAAATTGGAGTATCTAAGATTTTCAAAGTATTATAGTAAGAAAAGTTATTTTGAAACAGCAAAGCTAAAGCAGCTCCCTTAATAATAATTTATACATCAATCGTACCAGCCTACCAGGTAAAACCAATGGCAATCAGCCAGCATTAACCTGCAGCCAGGATGACATACCCACATCCTGCAGCAGCAAGCCGTGAGCGGGCATTCAGCCAGCTTGAATAATTCCATTATAGGGGTTATTCTAACAACTATGACTAAGTTTCTAAACTGCAATTCATGATAAAACTAGTCCATGACTTCTTATTTTTATCATTGGGACTTGTTACTTGTTAGAACAAAAACAATGAGTCACTGAAAAATATGATCTAACACTACAATAGGTCAGAGGGTATCTTCCAAATTCACAAAAGCATCCACAAATTATAGCAATTTTGATTGAAATGTTATTTTTTGCAACGGCAAGAATATTCTGAACCCATCAACTTAAACAATAATACAATACAAGTCAACAACAAAAACTACTCCGTATCAAATAAAAAAAAAATGAAGAAACAAGCAAACAGATATAAAATTAAAAACCCCAAATAAAGTAAAGTTTATTGAAAGTTTATTGAACCTGTATGACTTTGACTCTGCTTCCTCCGAACAAAATGACCAAAAGGTAGAGAAGAAAAGTTGCGATTTGATCTAGTAGCACACTGAAAAGGGGAAAATCAGAGAGGTGTGAGCTGGTTTGTTCATGGTTGGAGAAAATAGAAAGAAGTGTTAGCGAAGTGAGAGGAAAAAGGAAAGTGGGTATTTAAAGGATGAATATAATAATAATATAAGTTAAGTGTGACAGATAGACATAACTTCCATAAGACAACTCTATCATAGTAAGGGAAAGGGAATGTGACTTTTTCGGATGATTCCTTCAATACATCGGATTTTTTTAAGAAAGTAAGCTTAATTGACAAACAATTTACCAATCTAGACGCGTGGCTAAACTATTTACGAAACTTAACTTTTGACATAAAACGCTGCCTCGGTCAGCGTTTTACCTTTGGCTATTATTTTTTTTATAAAATTTCGTATTATGTGAAATACAAATTTAAAAAAAAAAATTGGAAATACAGTAAAACGCTGACTCAGTCAGCGTTTTTCTTGTATCCATAACAGAGAAAAACGCTGACTGAGTCAGCGTTTTACACCTAAGCATAAAACGCTGCCACAGTCAGCGTTTTATCTGCTGGCTGAAGTCAGCAACAGCAGGCCCCCAACAGCAGCCAGTGCAGCCCCCTTCCACATCCACCACCCTCTCCACATCCACCAACACCACCACCCACCTCCTCCACCACCCTCCTCCTCCACATCCACCACCACCATCACCCTCCTCCTCCACATCCACCACCACCACCCTCCTCCTCCACATCCACCACCACCATCACCCTCCTCCTCCACATCCTCCAACACCTCCACCACCCTCCTCCTCCACATCCACCACCTCCACCACCCATCCTCCTCCACATCCACCACCTCCACCACCCATCTTCCTCCACATCCACCACCTCCACATCCACAATTTATTTTGAACGAAATGAGTCAAACGTGGACAAATAAGGAATTTGAAATTCAAACAAGACATAAATTCATTCAAATAATTATTCAAATAATAATGTAATTTAAGTGTTATGTATAACAAACTAGAGAAGGTCATTACAGCAAATAAATCAGATAATTCTATCCTATTCTGACTCATCAATTTGGTGTAACGGCTCTCTATCCTGTATGTCCACTCTCGGCCTTTGACGACGGCTGTAGTGACGGACCGTGGTAAATGGGTTCGGGCGTACTGGCGGAGTCAGCTGGCTGGAAGATGGGTCATCAGGATGACGTAGGGGCGCGGAACTGCGAATGTCGTACTCCTCTACGCCCGTGAATGACGAAGGATCACCCCCACAGCTACTCTACTCTGGCCAGCCTCGAACTGTGAGTGACCTGAGTGGCCGCCATGATCGTCCCGGGGGTGGACGAGATAGGCGTGACCATATCTCTGCAAGGTAGCCATGCCCATATCTTGCACCCGCTCGACCTGTGCTCTGGGCGGCTCAGGTATGCCTGGAAGGACATCCGACAGTGCGTCAACCATCGCCGTCATATCCAACGCCTGCAGTAATTAAGGATGAGTTAGTTGAATGATATACAAATTTAAAATTGATAAAAATAAGTTAATCAAATACACTTACATATCCCCTGATCACGTCAAAGGATGGATGGTAATGTGCGGATAACACATAAAAAGTAACATAATAAACAGGTTAGTTCATATTAAATATGTTAATAGTATACATAATAAATAACAATTTCATAAACAAATTAAAGATTTCGCCTGCAAGTCAACGCTACGATGTGTGTCCTGTAGTGTAAGGACATAAGGGTCGGTGGGTCCGGGTGTCCTATCTCGGGTGTCCATGGTATCTGTTCATAAACAGTTATAATCCAACAATTAAAAAGTAAAAATTACATATAAGCAGTCTGCTGAAGGACCCCATCCCATATTCAGTTGATGGAATGTCTTGTGAGGGCATTCGGAAGGACTCTGTGTAACCGGAAAAATAGGTAGCTTGTTGATCTGGTCGAGTACTTTGTTGCGTACACGTAGACACTATTTCTACATATATCTCATGTGGATAACCCCTCATTAAAACAGCGCTCCTCAAAGCTTTCAAATGTCTATCGTTAGAACAAGGTAACACTTGAACCGCATTATTAGTCTCAAACCTCATTTGAATGTTAAGTTGTACATTCATTGGGTTTAAGTCAATAATGCTATGAACCTCGTTCATCAGATCGTTGAAAGTCATGTCCGGTCCAAGTGGCAATGGTTCCATATTTCCACCACTATACTGGACATTCGGTCCATCAGACACAAATTCACCCCCCCATCGGCATAACAAAGCTGAGTTTTGTGCAGCCATATTCTATACAACAACCAAAAGCACATCTTAATTGCATGCAATCTCCACCAATTCGCACAAAAACAACCAAGATATTCACACTATAAACATAATTAACCAACATTGTTCCAATTCACATTACAACCACAACAAAGTACACAACGAACATATTCACACTATAACAACCAACATATTCTACATAACAAAATTTTCGTAATTAAACAACAATGTAGGCTACTTTATCAAACTAAAACAACAATTTCATCAACATTATCAACAATTTCATCAACATTTTCAACAATTTTATCAAACATTTCCACAATTTCATCATAAACTTTCTTACTAAACTAACATCAATTTAGGGCTTTTATACTAGACAATTATCAAATTACAACAAACCAACTTAGAATTATCAACATAATTGTCAATTTACATCAAACTAACTTAGAATAAACAACAACATTATCAAACTAAAACAATGTAGTATATAATTATCAAACTAACCTAGGTTTTTAAATTTTAAAAACAAATAAGTGAGAAGTACTAACAATGTGATTATAAAGAAGAGGAGAGGCGCGGCGGCAGCAGGCATTAGGCGGCGGCGACGGCGGCGACGACAGAGCTTTGAGGAAGATAGGCTATTGCGTGAGGAAGAGTGAGTTTGAGTTTTTAGTTTTGAGGAAGAGTGAGTGCGCGAAAAATATACCAGGCAAAACCGCTGACTCAGTCAGCGTTTTAAGGGCTGTTACAGCCTGAGACAAAAACGCTGACTGAGGCAGCGTTTTTATGTATTTTCATATTTTTTTTTTTTAAAAAAATTTGTATTTCACTAAATAAGAAATTTAAAAAAAAATAATAACAGAGGTAAAACGCTGACCGAGGCAGCGTTTTACCTCAGAACCTCAATTTCGTAAATAGTTTGGCCACACGTCTATATTCGTAAATAGTTTGCTAATAGGGCTCAGTTTCGTAAAAAATCCTACATCATGGGAATACTGATACGGATAACTAGTCTATTCATCTCCCAATTTACGAGGATTTTTTTATTTTTTTTATTTTTTTATTTTTTTTGGGATTTATCTCATGGCTTGATGGGTGTCCCTATAATAAGTCTATTATAAGGTGGGTGTGCGTTAATTTTATTATAATACGGTCACTTTGAGGGTAACTTTAACTATTTTTATGGTAACTTTAACCACTTAAAGGGTAACTTTTAATTTGTCGTTGGTTAGAATTTAATTTTAATGTGTAATTTCTTATAGATTCATGATTACACACTATAACGGCTAATATGATTAATCTAAAACATTATAAGTTTTTTGTAAGATAAATTTATTATTAGAAAAATAATAACTTTTGTAGTATAAAGGGTAACTTTAAATACTTTTAACTTAACTTTAAACCGTCTTAAAATAAATTTGAAAGGAATGGTGTCCTTCAACAAGTGTATTATTCCGATAGAGGGTTCAAAATTAATTAGGAAAACTAATTATTCAGTGAGGTCAAGTGATCGGAATGCCTAGCTGGAGGCCTCTTCCGATTAGTATTATTAATGTATAATTAATATTACAGCTTGCTCTGAACTGAACCCTTCGGGTCACACCTACTCGGGTAACCGAACCAAAGTGACGAATTAATCCGAAGGATTAAATGAGTCAATAGAGATTTTACGAACTAAGGCGTCGGATTCCGAGCTTAGAGCGTCGAAAATCGAGTCGAATTTATGCAATCGACAAGACGGAAAAATTAGTCAACAACAAGTCACAACGTATAGCCCTAGCCTCGGAATGGCCTAGCCATGCGAGGCTAGGGCAATGCGGCTAGCAAGGGCTGCTAGCACGCAAGGCATAGCCGCATGCCCAGCAGCAGCTAGCATACGCGCGCTAGCTAGCAATCGTGCCATGCTAAGCTAGATAGCAGCGCTAACAAGGCCAGCAGCTAGCAAGCTTGCTGGGCCTTACTAGCTGCTACTAGCACCAGCCGCTTAGCAGCCCGCAAGCGCGCAATGCTTGCTGGGCGTGCGAGCAGCGCATGGGCCTTATTGGCTGGCCCACCCGAGCATAAGGGGCTGCCAACGTGGCGCACCTTGTTGCTCAAGGATGAGCGGCCAGCTGGCCGGTTTCTATTGGGGTCGGTCAAATGGTGAAGGTTGCCTTGGGGAGCAAAGGAAGGGTGGTCCTTACCTACTCCCTTACTCTCCTTGAAACACTTGTTGTTTGATGATTGTTTTGTCTTTTTAATTTAATTTAGAATTAAATTAATTTTTTCTTTTAGCATTTTACCAACTATCATACATTGAAATATGATGGGAATTCTTGGGAACAATTCCCTATAAATACCAATCATTGGGTTTTGGGATTTTCATTTGAGCTGGTGAACTCTAAGGGATCTCCAAAAGCGAGAAAATCTTAGTCCGTAAACTCTAAGTAATTTTGGTCTAGCCCCGTCTAAGCTACGGGGTAGGGGCCGATTCCGGTTCGGTGATCGAGGGTGTGAGCCGTTGAAGGTTTCGCACTTGCGGGGCTTAAAGTTTTCCAAGTCCGAGCTCGATAAGTGAGTGAAGCACGCATCTAGGGTGAGCTTCTTTCTCTCTTCTTCTCTTTATATGTTTGTGTTTTTGTTTATTTGCATGCTTTTGTTTATGTTGTAATTATTATGCATGCGATCCGGTTATTGGGTTTTGTTTCCGCGTGGTGTTGGGCACAACAAAACCCAACAGAGGTATAAGAGCCTCTTGCATTTAATTTTTACAACTAAAAAATTAATTAAGGTGATTTAAATGGATTTAAATTTCTGGTTTAGCATCCTAATTAGATTAGAACCTCGTTTTAAATTAGATTAAAATCGTATTTATGCTAATTTTTGGCCTACGAACCCCGATTTCGACTGAAAAATAGTGAATTTTGGG